ATATCTGCGCAATATTCCCAAATCATAATGATTATTGGTGATCGGTTTGTTTTTTCTCCTATCAAAAAGTTGCTTTCTTCAGGTGTCCAGTTCCCTATTAATTCTGTAAGGCGATGTTTAGGTCTTCTTTGCTTCATAATAATAACACTACAAGAAAACTATTTATAGCGCCTTTTCATGAAGCAGATTATACGAAAACAAACATTACAAGAGATGCGATTGACCGAATAGAGACATACACCAGAAGCAGTAGAATCATGCACCGTCTCGAGGATTAAGTTGTCTTGTGTAAGTTTTCCTTGTTTGTTGACAGCTACTTTACAAGTAACGGTGCTTCATTCGAGGGCTGGTACGACGACAAGTAACATTGTTAATTTGTTTTATACAGCTAAACAAGTCATGAGAGTATAATGAGATATTGACATGCTTTGTCAATCTGAGCAGTATATACAGGCTAGTAGCGCTGTCTGTTGAATGCCAGAAGAGTGATATCGTACAGAGCCTAGCTTTCATACAAGTCATGACTTGAAGGACCCCGAGCGACTGTTTTTCGTCCCTCTTTTAAAATTAATTAATTCATTCATTCATTCATCAATTCATTTATATAAATGATGAGGAGAGAAGGAGAGCGAAAGAGAAAAATATACCAATATAATACACACCCATCCGTCATCTTTCATTCACACTCTGCCTTCCTCGTGTTTTCGTTTAGTCATCTCTCTTTCTTTCTCTCCTCCCTGTAAACCATCTCTCTCTATTTATCTGTCTCTCATTTTCCCTCTCGATCCTTGCATCTCATTTCTCTAAGATTTCCCCTTTCTCTTCTTGTTTTGTCCTCATCTTGATTAGAACACCCCCCCCCCCTCTCTCTCTCTCTCTCTCTCTATCTCTCTCTCTCTCCCTCTCCCTCTCTCCTCCTCCATTTCCCCCTCTCTCTTCACTCTCTCTTTTCTCCCTCATTCTCTTCCTCTACCATCGTTTATTATAAATCTAGTTTCTATCCATCAAAGAATTTCAGACAGAATTCTTCGGCAGACAAACTATTATCTTGTAATTTCCTAGGATAGGGAGAAACACATATTTCATCTTCCTTACCACAGCCAGAACCTAAAAAAGGAGAAAGAACAATATGTATAGGCCTACGGTATATATAGTGGGGTTTTTTTAATGAGAAAAACTCCAATGGCATCGATCAAAATCCGACTTCAATGAAATAAAAAGACAAAATAAGCATTAGATGAAACATGACTGCATGTGATCATAATTAAACTGTTTATATTCTTTGATTTTCACACCAACATAAGCAAATTGCAAAAGCAAAACAGCAAGGATTGTGTTTTAAACTTGATTTGATTTGATTTTTATTTTTCATTTAATAGCAACAAATATACATAGTCATAATTTTGGTAAAAAGAACTAACAAAATAACATCGAGGTCAGTCCAATAAATAAATTGTATGAACATTGTTATCTGACATTAATATTTTTGTACAACTAAGAATTGATTTTTACAACATCATTCACACAAAAACGTTTAATTTTAATCATTTTTTTTTTTTTTGGGGGGGGGGATTATTATCAAGTTATTAACTGTTGCACAATTTACACATTGATTTGGATTTAGCCGTCTTATCCAATTGAACTTTTCTCGAAGGGTTTTAAAGGCTCTAAATTGTAATAAACATGGAAATAGTTGAAAATAATGTACAAATGAGAAAATAATATTTAAAAAAAAAGTTCGTTGAGGTCATCATTATGCGTGTCACGTGCTATTCGTTAACAATCAAAAGACTGCGCGACGCGCTTGGATGTAAGCGCTTGATTGTTACGTCATCAGATGCTGCCACAGAAACTGGTGCTGCGCGTTCCCTTGCGTTTTCCAAACATTCTCATTTCTGACCTGTCAGAGCTGATACTATTGCTAATTTCTCTCCGAGAAAATAGGCTTTTCTGAATTATTCAAAGTGATCTTTGATCAAATTCATCATGGGTACTTTACAGAGCAAGTACCAGGGACGCTACAAAAATCTGAAGAATAAGAAAGATGCGGTAAGATTGGATAAAATAAATATAAAAACAATTGCATCTCAGTCACCTTGTAATGACTTTGACTTTACAATGAAGTACATGTAAGATACATAGATAAATAGGCCACCTGCACATTTCCAATACAGGGCTGAGTACCGAATGACTATTAAAAAAGTATTAACAGAACAGAGATTAGGTTATTTGTCGATTTGAATGACACAATATCTCAATTGTTTAAAAAAATCTTATGCATGATCAAAAAAGGTATTTCGTTTTAATTCTCTAAAGTTAGCATTAAAAGTTCATTTCAGAGTTAAAGATAGAATTGAGATTACAGTGTCATTTCTGAAACGTTTTATTAAAGACAAGGTATATACTGAAGTTGAGGGGCTTTAAATATAGAAAAGCAAGGTTTAACATGACAATAATTATGAATTTGATGAATGAATTAGAACTCATAGTACGGTTAAATTTGATCGTCCTCAGATTCAGCATCATGAGCCAACTGGGAAAAACGAAACCGAGACAGAAGGTAATTAATATTAATATATAGAAGTAAAACATCTTTGTTTCGTACCTTACAAGAATTAAAAATAACTTTCAAATAAAACCAAAGGTGCACGGCGAGGCGGTATTTCTTTCATTGTGTTTGTCCTCCCCCCCCCCCCTCTCTCTCTCTCTCTCTCTGATAATATGATATCATGTAGATGCACTTGAAACTACTTGGCAAATAATAATAATTACGATAATATTACATTTATGATGTTTCTTTTCATTATTTTATACAAAGCAAATACAATAAATCAATGTCAATGACATGAAAATAACTCTCTGACTCTTTCTCTTCTGAAGAAATCCAACCTTCTGTTCTTTTCACTGCGTAATTGTTACTTTCGAATTATGTTTTTAAACACATTTTTTCTTTTCTTTCTATTTCCATTTGTTCTTCAGTCATTGGACATTGTTTCGCTCCCTTGGCCTGCACTGAGGATGTAGATGATATCCCAGTGTCTCAGCTCCTAGTCCGTCTTTATTCTCCATGCCTTCATTTGATGACGTCATCAGACGCATGACGTCAGTCAACCAGAATGCAGATACAACTGACCCCAGTAAGTACTTACTTTGTTTCTTCTTCTCCCGATTATCATACTCCTATATCTTTCCCGTTATCTTTTCATTTCATCTTTTTCATTTCAAAAGTGATTTAACTGATTGGCAATATAGATATTTTTTTCAATTGAGTAAATTATCAAGCATATTCGCGCATAAACCAAACCAAATCAAAGTAAGTACGCAAACAATAAACACATACAACATTAAAAAACAACATTAGCACATAAGCAGAAGCTTATCGAGCACTTATAAATGCTATGAAAACATAGAAAAATGTTTAAATAGGGTTGTGGACTACTACACATGTAAAGCTCCTACATATTCAAGATAATTGTATTATGCAATATCTTTCTGAGGACGAGCGTTGAACAGTGTTATTCTTTCTCCAGATGACTACGACGATGAGTCCATCATCGTCAGCGATTTTGACGAGGATTCGATTTCCTTATCATGGGCAGCTTCCTTCAACACTAGTACGGATATCGACGACCGTATCAACCAAAGTTCCACCGACATCTTCTCAGAGTCTGAGCAGGACGATGACGAGGCAGTCGAGTCTCGGCCTGTGAAGCAGAACACGAAGAAATCCCGTTCTATTTGTAAGGATATGCTTATTATTAACTACTTTCCATCTAAAAATCAAAGTTCGTATATATTACGCATTTTCGCTATAGATTAACGGTTTTGAATATAATTATTTTAAGAATATAGCATACATTCCTAGATATTTCTTGATAAAGAGATTGATGCCCACGTAAGTAAAATTTGTGATTACACGCTAAAGAAGTGTAATATATTACATCACCAAAATAAATCGTTAGAAGTGTAGTATACATCATCAAACATACACACCGCTAAAAAGCGAAATCTACATGACTGTGTAAAATCGACAAGAATATTATTGTTTTAAGAAGGGAATTTTGTTTTAGCTACAAAAACTTGTTATTTCATTTGTTGTAATATTATCAATACGTATTACACTGTATTTCAACGAATGTCCATTTCTCCGTTATTCAGTTAAGAGCATTCGCAAACGTCTCCATCGTTACCAAGAGAAGAGAGAGCGAAAGAGACCCAAGGGATGGGTTTGGTGGACCCCAGAGGGCACTCTTTGCGTTTGTGTGAGTTATTAGCTTGTGCAATCCTATATTGATAATATTTGTTATGATATTATTATATTGTAGCTTGAATAATAGTATTGTATAAAATTTTTAAAAGGAATGAAAAAGAAAAAAAAAGAAGAAGGAGAAATTGAAAGGAAGATAGCGCCTATAAAAATGACGCTTAACTAGACTTGGATATTGACTATGTATACATACTAAATGAATCTCGTTATATCTCTATATATCCTTATATCTCAGCCTTTCTCTCCCTCTCCCTCTCCAGGATGAGAATGGCGAATTCTATCAGGAGCATCACGTGTTTGATAAGATGAGGTTTCGACGTAACGGAACAGAGATCCTTCGATACTGGGTCCCTGAAGGATGCAGGTGCTCAGACTAAAATCATCTCAAGATCAAAATCATCTATCTTGGCATAAAACCATCTCACCTCCGACGATCTCTCTTTGAACAACTGTGCTTAGATAATTTGGCCTAATAAATTTGAATTGTTTATATTTATATATAAATCACAGTGCGTTATCTTATCTGTACGGGTTGTGTTTATTGAGGGATCTGTGATCTTAAAAAGCGAGAGATGGAAGAAATCGAAATTGAGAGAAAGAGAAAGAACATGAAAACTGCTTGACCATTGGAGTTATTGACGCAATCGAAAATTCTCTTCGTGTGCAACGAGCATAAAAGCAACGCTTTCACACGCAAGAGACACAGAAAAAACACTAAGATCAGCACAACCTCTTGGCGTTTCAAAAGTAAGCCTTTATTTCAGCCAAACAACTTTCTTATCCAATCCTTACAACACTACAAGTAGAACTCACCACGAGCGCAAAAATGTACAAAATATAAGATGGCATTACATCATGATTCGTTTGCGCAGACGATACAATAACATAACCTTCAAAACGAGATCTATTTTCAGTTCACAAAACATCTATTTAAAACATAGATTCTTTTTTCCCACAACACCTTAACGTCGAGCCCGCTAGAGGCCGAAACGTTTCGTTTACAATATCAGTCACGCTAAAGCTGGAACATAACCTTCATGTGTTTTAAGTACATTAAGTATTGTTCATTGAGGAGTTCCACAGGGATCAACGCTGGGACCCCTAATGTTTGTATGTACATAAACGACAAGTCCACCCTACGTTTCCACCTTTGCAGAAGGGAAAATTCAACGAGCATCGTTCTAGAAAACAAATTACTCTAGGAAAAAAACGTAAACACATTAAGTACAAGTTGATGAACACTAACAGATGATTATTTACCACAATCATGATTATTTAACTCCTACCATAAACATGCCTCTATTACTCATCTATTTTAACAACGAATCTACAATCAATAGATGACAAAATACAACATAACAAAGAGCCCCCAATTAAATCAGCAGAAAACAATCAATTAACTGTCATACTGGTCCACCTCACATTTAAATATTTCAAGGTCATCAAATACATAGATACGGGAAACGCTTATATTTCTCTTCAATAACTGGTGATTTCTCTGTAAACCAAACAAAATTTGATGTAATATATGTATCTATTGCACCGGTGGACACAAAAACCAACATAGTCTTTTCAATAAAGTCCTAAACGATTACGTGCATATTTTGTTAGAGGCAAAGTTGCGTTGGCACTCATTTTTAGAAAGAAAATGGAGGCATTTTATGAATGGGCTTCGCCCCTTGAATTGCCACTAATTATTTCTTTCTTTCACTTTTCCTTAGTTTAATACAAATTAAAATGTATATTAAAAGAAGCAATATGATTGAAAATTGTAAACTGAAAACAAAAATGCCAATGGGACGAGAAAATAGCGAACATAAAAAAGTCTGCTTCCTGTTGACAACCATTTTCAATTACATTGTAATCATGAGCGGCATAGTACGTGTACGGAAGCAGAAATCAATCAAATTTTCTGTGATATTTGCTCTTAATGCTTATATACTCCACGAAATTCTATATCAAAATATAATACGTAAACGTCACCAAGGTGACACTCCACTCGTATGGCCATACAAGCGCTATAAGTTGAGCTCACTTGCAGAAATTTAAGAATAATGCAAAATACGTGCCACTCAAATCATCGGGGTCACTATCACATCGATAACACTGTGTTTAGGCAAGCTTTAGATAGTATGTGTTCCTCTCACAAGCACAGCTTGGCTGCTATGGATCGTTGCACATGATATTGTTATCAACAATCTATTCCTGAATACTTTTCATAATTTTTTCACAACTGAAGAATATCAAAGTAAGCGGGAAGAAGGATAAAACTGGTCAATAATCTCAACAAATAAAACAAAACAAGAGACGAAAGAAAAAACAAATAAACCTATTGAGGAGACCACAAGCAACATTGTCATCTACTAATATAATCCACATGATTAAACATATAGCAAGATGCTCCACCTGTCAAATACTGTTGTGGTAAAAACATAAAACAAAGATAATATGTGACAACAAAACATGAAGTGCACATCTTTAGTTTCTGACTCGTAACAACAATGTCTATGATTGACTAATGCAATGCGACATTAACACACATCATTTTGGTCCGATACTCTGGCTACGTGTACAATCTACTAGGAAACTTGCTAAACTGTATGTTTTTTGCTGTACATTTCATCCTAAATATATACACTTCTACATAGCCTTCCTTTAAGTCAAATATACAACTGACTTTTTTTTATATTCCAACCATATTCTTAATCCATTACAATTTTAAAACGTGCATGAACTTGATCAATCTACCTCTTTCTCATAAACTCTGCCAAAATCAGATCAATATCTCTGTGTCATATTACCCATTTGGGTTGACAAACTTAAATTTTCAGTCAATGATTTAATTTAGGAGTTGTACTGTCACAGGGGTGGAAAAGAACCAATACATTTACATATCTACAACAAAAAGTGATGTTTACCAGTTGGCATAATTAAAACACTTGAAATTTAATATACTCATGAATACACACAGAAACAAGAAGAAATCAATATCTCGAATCAGACAATAAAACAAGGTACATGGACATTATATCGGTTACAATGTTCCATGAAACAGCACAAAAATATCATGATGAGCTTGATTTTTCTTCTTTTCTACACAGGTGAACATCCTCATATTTACTTTTTTCAGTAACAAATACATCCCTATCTAAAAACCTTTAATGATAACATGAAAGAAGAAAGAGAGCATGAAAATAAAATGTTCTTTCCCTTTTTTTCATCTTCTTCATCATTCTTGATTTTGTACAACATATATCTGTACACGCCATTGTATATTTTAGCTCACTTTTTTCCAATTATCGTTCCTGTTTCAAAATTCATATATTGACAAAGTGTATGCTAGGTATATTCCCTAGCAACAAACAAAATAAAACATCATGATTAAGGAGATTAGCTCCCTTGGTACTATAGAACAATTGCTAGTAACTTTTGATGCAAAAACAATACACGCAATGATTTGAGTAAACATTTATTCAGTGAATGCTATCAAAATAGTGTGAATACCTATTACGTGAAAATTCTTCTCAAAACAACAACAAATCCACATGAACAACCTAAATAATACAAGACGCATACATGATCATGATAATTTCATTACAGCAGTATCAGAGCTATAGAGTAAAACAAACCTAATATACATCTTTGTGACCTGATTATAAACAGTAAATAAGTCAGTAAACTAAAAAAACATACAAACACAGAACCTTTACAAAAAGATGCAGTGCGTTGTTCAAACCAACATTATAAATGTACAAATGTATTTACAGCACTCGATTGAGAGCAATAGTACACTAAAGTCTTTTTTTTCCTAGAATGATTTTCCTAGAATACTCAACATATTTGTAATTTGCAATAGATAACTAATACACCCCATTTTTCACAAACATTTTCACGTTGTAAGATTTCCATAATAATCAAATCTTACAATGCAAGTTCAGATCGATATGTTACAAATAAAAAGTCAAAGAAACGCATAAATGTAACGCCAAAATGATTCGGCACTTCACTGGGTTCAAAGGTCACGAACCAATTATAAACACGAGGGAAGCCAAATAAGGTTGGAGTATGGAGTTGCTTGGATAAATTTGGAAGATGATGATGATAATGATGATGATGATGACACCGAAACCTTGATTTGGATTCAGGAAACATCAGTACACAGATATCAAACATGAGCACCGAGTACTCATTAGAAGAAAACAAAAACACATGAAAACCAGGGTGAACATAACAATAACATTTGTTGACTTTACTTTACCAATGGATAAAAATGGTTCAAACAAATGACAGTAGGATGGGAAAGAACAATTATTAATGAGTGCAAATTCATCTTGAACTAGAAATAAACCAGAAATACATAAGGTACATGTAAGTACAAAATGGCAGCGGCTTTGCGTCTGATTTAAACAAAAACAACCAAAACATAGATGCATAGAATTCTTGGAGACCGTGAATCCTGTTATCAAACGAAATTGCATATATTTGGCACCTAATACATTTGATTTGATTTTAATGTTGTTGTTTTTTTGCAGCACTTATTGAATATAAAAAAAAAAAGTTAAGTTACTCAGTCAAGCTATGTCAAGTTTATCCAAACATAAGGTCTACACTCTCAAAACTGTTTACACTATGAAGCCTCATTTATCCTGAAAAAATGTGTCAAAAAACATTTCCATTTTGCGTCATCTTAATGCTAATTGTTCCTATTCAAACAATTTATAAGCTCCTGTAAAAACATGAATTTTTATGAGCCCACATAGTTTGTGATTTTAACGAGTGGTCGGATTCTTCAAAAAATGTGCAGCTTATTAACGGACTAGCATTACTGATTCTTCGAAGTTCATGTTGCCAATGTTAGTGGTTTTTCAGTACTAAAACTGAAGGTTAATATTTTATCGCTCCTAGCGACATCTATATCTAGAGGCAATATCATTTCGCAGCAGGGCAAGCAAATGGGACAAATCTCAATTGTACATCTCTGACAGACTGTAAGGGAATACTGTACAAGATTTCACAGCATCTTTATTCTTATTTCAGTGCAAGATCATAACTGCATGTTCATATACCATGATGGCAAATTGTTAGATGTTAGTTCAGTTACAAAGAATCAAGCAAGATGGTTGGCAATCAACTTGGGTTACCAGTGGTATTTGTTAAATAGCACTGGAGGGAAGGCGATAGCGGACAGCCAGAATCCCTATTCAGTGAAGGATTGATCCTTTAAATCTACATGGATTATTTTACCTTTTTTGACCAGAAGTGGGTCTCAAAGTCAATGATACGGGCATCACCCCGTCCAATGTTTCGTCCAGGTTTAAAGGTGTGTAGTGCAACCTCTAAATGAAATGGATGACTCGATCTGAGTCTTTTCAGGGGATTTTTTTGTAGAAAACATATCTGCCTAAGTTAACCTTAAAAGAAGTGAACAATTCATAATTACAGGTACACTGTTATGGTGGACAAAGGAGGTAGGCCTAAAATGCAGCAAATGTTGTAATCAAAATATTTTACGCAATGAAATCAAACATACAAATCAAGTAACATCTCATGTCGTGAGGTGTATTCACAAATTTGGCTAAGTCACTGTACTTGCAGGTAATATGTACAATTTATTAAAAAAAACATTAAAAAATCACTAAGAGCGATTGACACAAAAATGCATAAAGAAATTTTACGTTTTAATATGACGACTGTTGAATTTGTTCTTTATGGTACTGCAGTAAGCAACTCTTTTCAAGCCTCTGCCATGCTTCAAGTGCAAAGTACTGCTTAAAGTTCTATACAGGTATACTGTAAATACACAGAGAATTGTAAACATGTTCTTGGTATTTAATATATCATAACTACATATGGCACATACTGTAATATACACTTAAGATACTGGATATCTTTTCAGAAAAGTACACGTATCTCAATCAATCTTTGCACCTGTACTGCAGGACACTCGTACACTGACAAATCGATCCCAGCTTCATTGCAGAGAACAACACAACGGTCCAATTTGATTGGTAGGGACAGACATACATACATGTAGCACAGTCAGCCAATCGGAGCTCACGTACTAGGAGGGTCTATGGATTGCACCAATGAGAGGAAGTGTGCCACTTTCTCCATCTTGTGTTCGGTTTTGACCAGTTGGAACCGGATTGGGCAGTCCAGGGTGGCGCAATGCTGCTTGTTGTCGGCAAAGCCACAGCAGCTTGTACAGATCTGCAAGCAGGTGTCATAGACAAAAAAAAATATCCAATCATTGTAAAGATGTATAGGAGTAGGCTTTCATGGGGAGTTCAACACTGTGTTTAACCAATAACAGGTGTTGTCAATCACCAAGATTAGCCTTTGGTTTTATGACCAACCGGCTTTATGTAATGCCTTGCACTTTTCCCTCTCCTAGAGACTAGGGGGTATTTCTTGATAGGCCTACTGGTTCGCTGTGTTCAGACTTGGACACACATTAAAGGTATTTCTGCCGAGTCTGGTGTCAGCAAAATATGGCCTTGTGCACACAGAAACTGACGACCCACTCCCTTTAATAGAAGCACCAAGGGAAGGGTTTCCTTTCCTTTCAAAAAGTTAAATTTCCAAAAGGGAGTGAAAACAATCCGGGCACAATAAATGGGTTTGTACAAAAGGTAAAAAATCACAGTCAATCCCTTTGGCTTTACCTTGTTTATTTGTGCCCTGGCTCGATCCCAATCCTGGACCCTCTTCATCAATGAGGTGACCGTTGTCTGGGGGCTTGACCGGCATACCTCACAGAGACCAGACTGGGTCAAACGATCGCATACTGCACAGTTCAGGCTGCAGAAGTACTGGGAGATGGTGCCCTGCATGAGGAAGAGCATGGTGAAAATATGATTATCGATCCTTTCTGTACCATAGACAGCAAATTTCGTCCAAGAATATTTAAGGGCTACGAAATGCCTGGACGGAAATCTTGTTTTGTCTTAATAGATAACCAGGTACGGAAACATTGATTTCAAAGATTGTTTTCTCTGAAGATATTTATAGCTGGATTTAATCACAATCTAAAATTTTATCTAAAGTTCAATCTCACCTTCCTGGCATTAGCTGATCCTTTGGCCTTGCTGGGGACAGTATTAACATGGGACAACCCTTGACAGTATTTGAATAGATTCCATCATATCAACATCCATGAAACTAAAGATCTTTAACAGTAAACCGTAATCCAAACTTGTAATAATCTGAGCCTGAATCTCACCTTCCTGGCATTAGTTGAGCCTTTAGCCTTGCTGGGGACGGTATGGATATGGACGACCTTTGGCAGTTTTTGACAATAGTCCAAGGTATCATCATCCTATCATAATCTTAAAGCCCCACTGCACTACTTATAAGCTACTTGCGCCCTCTATATAGCAAACAATGCCTTACCATGCCTGTTGGTCCCCCATGATCCTTTTTTTCTTATGTTAATTGAGAGCTGATTTGATGAGATAAACACCTGTCAGTGAACGTGCAGGGAGGTATAAACCCCCCGGCCAGACTAGTACAGATGGGATTTAAAAGTAATCCTAATCCAAACTTGAATAATCTACGCCCAAATCTCACCTTCCTGGCATTAGCTGAGCCTTTAGCCTTGCTGGGGACGGTGTTGACATGGACTACCTTTGGCAGCTCTTGGTACCACTCCAACGTATCTACAGCCATCATACCAAACACCCTGTTCAACGCCGGGATGATCTGCCTGGTGATGTAGTAAGGGGCGTTGAGGTTGTAGGAGGGATCCTGGAGGTAGTCCTGAGGGGTACGGACCAGCTGGATGAGGGGTAAGCCGGGGCTACCGTGGACCACCACGTAGGGGACCCGCTCGCTCACCCTGGGCTCCGACCGACGGTCCACGGCAAGTTTTCGTCTGAGGAAAGGGGACGAAGGATGTGGGTAGATTTTTAAATAGCTTCTAATAAAATCAATTGGTGCACAAAGTGATAATCCACAAATATTCATGGCAGGAAGAACACGTACATGTTTCTCCACAGAGGTAATCCATGGTGTTCTGTTTTTTCATCTGTTCCTTAGCTGATAAATCTTATTTAGGGACAAACAAATTTACATAGATACAAACCAAAGCGAAATATTTATCAACAATTTGACGAAGCTCCATAAAGCTGGTATCCTGATAATCTTTTCCAAAAAAGATTCTTCAAAAACTTTAAAGAAACTCCGCTGAATCTAACTTACTTGGCAATCTCCAATGCTGGCACACAGGAGGTTGGTTTATAGTACTGTCTTCCCCTGTACTCCTTGGCAAAGATGAGATCTTGTAGACCGATCTGACCTGCGTTGAGCTTCTGGAACTGCTGCTGTACGTAACGTTTGACCTTTGACACGTCCTTGGTCTCAAAGAGGGTTTTGAGCGACCGCTCCAAGATCTGGCGGAGAAAAGGAATGGTGGGTTTCTGTTATGTAATGCCATGGAAATCATTTTTTTACGAATATTGATTATTTTATTTGAGGGCAACGTCACAACCTCTCTTAATACCATCATTTTCAACAACTGCACCATGGTATAATGCCCATCACCATCTGTCGACAACTGCTCTGTGATCAACATCCTACATGAACCAAATTTTCAAAATTCAATCCTGGACCAAACATCATCCGTGTATATAACTGTAACCTGAGCCCTAACCTTAAACCCATATTGCAAACCTTACCTAGTTCCTACATCATTGACAAAATAAATTCTAGAGCAAATGTTGCTTGAGCACATGTCAGTGCACCTCACCATTATCACCTTCCAAAGTGAGTAAGTTTGGTTCTTTGCTGTTGAAACAACGAATGAGCTATAATTGATATTAACACAATCCCAGCCATTGCTACCCCCTTCCAAATCAGTCTCCTAATGCATATTACTATCATCATATAATCTCTCATGTCCACCCCCATCCTTATCAACACTAACACCATCATCATCGTCATCATCATCATCATCATCATCATCATCATCATCATCATCCTCGTCATCATCATCATCATCATCATCCTCGTCCTCCTCCTCATCATCATCATCATCATCATGATCATCACCATCATCATCGTGAACATCATCATCATCATCACCATTGTCGTCATCATCATCACCATCATCATCGTGAACATCATCATCATCACCATCATCATCATCATCATCCTCATCATCCTCATCATCATCATCATCATCATCATCATCATCATCATCACCATCGCCATCACCTTAAGTTGGTATCAGCCCCGCCAACACCACAACCGAAACAAAAACTACACTGTACAAGTAACCCTACTTATACTACCACCACGCTCCAAAATCGTACCTTTGCAACTGCAGGACATGAGTCTCTCCGCACCGTCTCTATTCCTTTGGCGTCAAACTCCGGTTCTTTCTGATCTGGTGACTCGTATTTGTATCCCACATACCTCTTCTTGGCTTGAAGCACACATGGTTTGTACACCTACATATATTCAAGATTCAAGATTCAAGATAATTTATTGTCATGTAAAAAATACATAAAATTTGTCTTCGGACAATAAAGGTGCTATACATCTACATAAATATATAAATACAGACAAAATAATTACATTTTAACATAACATTTAACAATCATCACAATTTTAAGAAGGTTAAGAAGGTTATGAAGCATAATCAGAGGTGAAAACAACAAATCATCAATATGTTCAATCTATCATAATACTGTCAAACTTGCTTTAAATAGCGACCACCTGTATCGAAAGACCACCTGTGTTTAAGGACCTCATTTTTGTTTCCCTTGAGCATAATTTCCCATTAAAACTGGTATTAAATGAACTATACATAAAGACAATCTGCTCTTAAAGTGTGTTTTGTATGTTTCCCTGGAGCAGTATTTATATACAGGTTTCACTGTACAAGAAAGCAAGAGTATACATGTAATTAAAAAAATGCTAGATTAGATGATTTTTTTTAATGTTTGAGTTTAACTTCCAGCATTAAATTTCTAACAATACAGTCTTTAAATAATTAAGCGCCTTTATCATGATGGGAAATATACAAGAATATAGAGACTGACTAACGGTCAAAGTAGAAGTTAAATTTCCTTGGCAACCTGACAAAAACTTAAAATAGGGTTTTCCCACAGCATCTTTTTCCACTAAACTATGACACATCTAATGTGAAGATTATGAGATATAATAAGTGCAAAACTGACCTTCTCCAGCTTGAGTTTGACAGGTTTAGGGTTCTCCGCGGAAACGGCTGCAACGATCTCTCTCCCTATCTCAAAGGCTCTTGCTTTGGTTGCGCCCTTCACCAGCACAAACAAACTGATTCACAAAACAAAAGATAATTGACATAAGAGAAAGAAAGAGAGTTTTAGTTTCTAATTTTAAGATTGATGTTATTAAAATGCTCTATAATGCAATAACAAAATCATGAATACCGGTAATCATATTGATAACAAGTTTCAAATTAACATGGAATTAAAAATAACCTAAACATTACTTTTTGGGCAATTTAAGGTTTTCAAGATCTTTTGAAAACAAATAAAATAGTGATGTGAAAGCCTTGTGACCTATTATCAAAAAGCAAAGAGAAAAATTAACTTGACTGACAAAACGCTGGAAAGTTGGATACGTGTACATGGAAATGGAGATATAAAGGGTGATAGAAAGAGGAGAAAGAGAGAGAGAGAGAGATAGAAAGATAGACCTAGAGAAACAGCTAAAGACAGAAATCGAGAGAAACAAAGAAAGAATTAGAAACACATACAAGAGAGAGAGAGAGAGAGAGAGAGAGAGTGGGAGATGGAGAGATATAAAGGGTTAAGAATCACCTGTCTGTGTCTCCATAAACCACTCTAGCGTCCCACTTAGCGGTGGTCTCCACCATCTTGATGGCCCTCTCTAGGGTCTCACGCCCCTTCCTCACTACACTGTCACCAACCTGAAAATGTACATGAAGACAAAGAGATCTTTATATTTATATAAGGTCATGGAAAATATTTGTTGCAAATTTTACCATCATTAGCCTTAAAACTTATTATTACCTGTATCAGACATCTGAGCAGTGATTTTACAAAATCATATTACACTTGTTGTAATCCTAAAAGAGCTTATCAGTAAATATAATATAAATTTGAGATTGTCATATATGTAATTGCTCTAGCTGTCTGATTTGGATAACAATAAAAATATTGACTGGCCTAACTTTCGGGAGATACCACATATATTGCCCTCACAAGACCCATAGTGCCCTCGTCTTTCACTCGGGGCAATATGAGTCTAGTTTGGGAAATATATGTGGTATCTCCCTCAAGGCCAGTCAATATTATATAATTATACTAAACATTTAGGGAATAGTTACGCAATAATATTTGTGTAGGAAATTTGTGTACCATCAGTTTATATATAGCTGACTATAACCATTATCCTCATTAACAACATCATCATCAATCAAGATCTTTATCATTTTCATCATCATCATCACCATCCTCCTCCTCCTCATCATCATCATCACCATCATCATCAACATCATAACCATCATCATCATCACCATCACCATCATCATCATCATCATAATCATCATCATCATCATCATCATCATCATCAACATCATAATCATCATCATCATCATCATCACGATCATAACAATCATCATCACCACCATCATCATCATCATCGTCATCATTGTCATCATCTTCATCATCGTTATCCTCATCCTCCACCTCATCATAATCATCTTGATCACCATCACCACCATAACATGAAAAACATTCTTCTCAATCACCCTCTTATTTCCTGAGTTAATTCTTTCAAACTTGCTGCAAGATGCACTCACCTCTATACAGGGCATTCGTCCAGAGAAGTTAGCCGACGTGTAGCCATAGGTCACGTTTGCTATCAGCTTCAGCCCCAGCTGCCTGTTATCCAGCATCCTCTCCAACACCTGACAATAAAATCAAAACATCAGTGAAACTTAATCCACGAAAACTTACATATAGAAAGGGGCATGCACATTTGATATCAAATCCCCCTTAGGCATTTGATGACACTTTTGCTTTGTAAATCTGGCCCCGTCTTACAAAGAGTTGATATCAATCATAATTTATTTGCAATTGATAGCAATCGCAGCTATGTACATAAGAGATAGGAGACTGAAAACTTGCGATTGATTTGAGGACTTACGATGGATTTCCATATCCTGATTTGCTGGGGACCCCATTTTGAAAATCAGTCACTTTCTACAGTACACCTACCAGGGATCTGGGGACATCTCACCCCCACACCCACTTCCACATTCCTGGATCTATATCTGCTCTGTAGATACAGTGGAACCTCGTAATAACGAGGTCCTTGGGATCATGAAAATTACCTTGTTATATCAGGGTAAAAAACAAAAGATGTAACAAGCTAGGACCAGTAAAATCACCTTGTTATACATGTATCAGGAATCTTGTTATATCAGGGTAACAAAAAAAATTAGAATATAAAAAGCTGGGACCAGCAAAATCACCTTGTTAAAATAGAAACCTTGTTATAAAAGATCTCTTTATAATAAGGTTCCACTGTATTCATGTTTATATCAACATAACTGTGAAACCGTATCTTTTCTTTTTCAAGTGCTCTGTAACTCTCTATTTGATCGGTCTTACCTTGTCTCCTCTATGGTCTTTAAGTGCTTTCTTCACCATGGTCCTTGTATTGAGAATCTGATCCAACATCCTGCAAAAGAGAACAGAAATTAGACCTCTAAAACCCACACATTTACAACTGATAGACATACAGTTAACAACAAAATTATTCATAGCCCTTGTAAACTGGATGTTTTTTGTGTTTTTCAGAACTCAAGACGCGATGGCTAAGTGGTAGTCGAGCAGTGGTCTCATAATAATAGAATGGCTAAATTTCTTGAACGTGTACCACAACAGCAGGTTTTTAATCATTCATTTTTGTGGATACCATCTGAGGCCAGGGATTGAAATAAATAAATGAAAAATAAATACAAAGTATGATCACTCCATGGTTTTCATAGCCCTGGGCATCTAAGTATGCCCCAAACTATACAGCAATGTGAGGACTGAAATTAGCAAATTTTCATATGTAATTTTATACTAAAACAAAGAATTACAGACTTCAAAACTTGACTTCTATCCATCAATATGTCATGCCTGTCTGCAAAGTAACCGCACAACGTGTCGTATTTCTCCTAACCAGAAAACCTCTATTTTACATCCTATCTGAGGGATATAGAGCAACTCACCTGGGGAGGACACCGTTTCTGACGCTGTGTTTCACAAAGGCTAAACCGTTAGGGGCTATGTGATACCCTCTGAGGCCAGGAAACCTCTATTTATACATCCTATCTGAGGGACATAGACCAACTCACCTGGGGAGGACACCCTTCCTGACGCTGTGTTTCACAAAGGCTATACCGTTAGGGGCTATGTGGACACCACCCGAGGCCAGGAGCTGGTCCAGTTGCTTAGGAGGGATAGAGAGAGTGCGACAGCCCAACACAAACTCACCGCCTCTGTAATGATAAAAGAGAAATGAAGAGAAGGAAAATAGAGTCAGACTTGCTTCAGTAACCACATGAATAGAAAGACTGCATATTAGTTTCCCTCTATTCAATTTTTCCTATTTTAAAACAATTTGGCATTAACACTTATGTTGTACTCCTTTACAAAGTCCACACTGTTTCACCCTAGTCAGACCGAAACAAGACCAACTCCAGACTGACAACAGACCAAATGGAAATGTTACATAATACATCTACGGCTGAGAATCGGTCAATCTGGAGTTGGTCTAAAGTCGGTTCGGCAGTGTGACTGAGGTATTAGGGTCAAACCTATGTGGACACTGACTGGTCCAACTGTTTAGGGAGGATGGAGAGTGAGAGACAGCTAAGAACAAACTCACCTTCTCCGTAATGATAATCAAACAATAAAACATTCAATAGCTGAACACATCGCCTATTCAAGAGTGTTGTGATTGTCTTCAGATTCATAAATTACCACTTTCAAATAATCTGGAAAATTTGGTTAATTAATAGAATGAAGAAACCAATGAGTATGCATACTGGGCAAGATGTTCTACACGACCGAGACAGGTGGAGAAGCAATAGTTGTATGCGATCATCATGGACGGGTAGAGGGAGGCGAAGTCGAGCACGATGACGGGATCCTCGTAGAATCTTGACTCGGGTTCCATGACGAGGGGGATGCACTCCGGCGCCTTTGACCTCGACCTCTGCTGGACACTGGGCGATACTGCGATGTAATTCCCGCCCTTGGCCTGCCGTAACATCATGGACTCGACTCGATACTGTGAGATGAAGGAACAAGCAGGTTGTTTGTAATTGGATCATTTGACATTTGATCTCTTAGTGGTAGAGCAGTGTTTCATAACCACAAAGTCACTGGTTCGAAACAAAGTCAATGCATTAGTGCCTTTGGTATTAAGGCACGTACTATACTACTCTAAGTCAATTGGATTAAAGCCATAGATACATGTACAATGGGTTTTTATCAAGGTCCGTGGTTTGAAACCAAGTCGATGCACTACAGCCTAAGGCATTTATCTTGAGTTACCAAGTCCCCTGGATAGGACATACAGCCATAGTTCCACTATGTCTTAACTACTCACACCTACTTGCTTTCTTAGCAGTCAGGTAAAATAAAATCATCATCGTCTTCACTTCTCGTAATGAAACCGTTTTTTGTGAAGATCTATCTGATTTATTCCTGAATTATTGATCACATAATAATCAAAGTACGTTTTAAATCACCATAATGTGGAGCAGATTGTTAATACTTTCTGCATATCACTTACACTCAAAAAATTGTACCTGTACCTAAAATATTTTCACATGGGACAAAGTATTTTCACTATCAACCTAATCTTCCTTTTTCTCTCAAATTCCTTTTGCAACTACTAATTGCAACTACCAAAAGTCTACTGGTCACATGCAAACAAATAATACCAAACTGAATGAGGCATTTATGATAATGATAATTACGATCATACCTGGGACCCTCTTGATAGCACAGAGTAGAACTCGATACCAAAGAGCCTGGCCAGCTCGCTGGTCCTTCCAATCAGATCGAGCTTCTTGATAAGTTGGATGTTCCCTTTCACTCTGTCAGCATAGTACTCAATTGTCCTCCACCTAATGTGAGATTTTGAATAAATGGAATTGTTTCAGAATGCAGTATTGGCAAATGAGCATGTTGGATTAGGATACACTAAATATTACTTCCTTTATACATGCATTCACAATCTTTGGAAATATTGTTGACTAACGGTAGACAAGAACATGGAATTTTTTTCTTTTCTTCTAAATTTCATAACTGTGATTTACGTATCATTTATTGTAGTAAATTCAATTATATCATTTTGAATAAATCACCTGCAAAATCTGTTCCAAATCTAATCTCAATAGACCATTTACATAATTTATACACAAATCTAATGCATACATCTTCTTCTTTTTTTTTTTCTTTTTTTTTTTTGGGGGGGGGGGGAGGGGGGGGGGGTTTCATTACATGGATAAAACTTAAAAGACTTGCGTCATATGCAGTATACAAAAATACAGAATTTTCTTGTACGTTACAATTTCATGTATCAAACAACAAGGGATTTGAAACAAGAAAGGTACAGCTGGACATTGAAAGTCTCTGGCATGGAATCAACCACAAACCTGTAGAACGCGGTAATGTGGTCAAACCAGTCGGTCAAGGAGCGGAACGTGAAGAGAGGGAGCCGCTGGTGAAGGACATGGTATGCAACATTCTCAAAGGTGTAGATGTTAAGAGTCACCTGTAAAGAAACAAAGATGGAATTGTGTTTTTCAATAATAATATTTGATGTTGAAATCAATTAGTGTAATATGCACGATTATCTACCCCAAACAATTTGAAAGAATGTTCAAATTCAATGCAATTATTTTCACAAAACTATTAAAGGTATCGCCTAACAATGTTAAATCTGAGATGAATGGCCCTACGTATTATCAATGTATGTGATATGGTGTATTATTGAAGCCCTAACAAAATTGCGCTTCAAAATGATCATGAAGTGCCTCAAAAAAGTAAAATCTTGGAGTGACCGGTTTTTCCATACTCATTTTCCCCAATAGACTGTAGTGTATTTATAAAAAACCGTTAGGAAAACAGTTTTTGAAATTTTGAGTCACAATCATAAATATCTTGATAATCAGACAGGCGATCGGCTTGTAAAAGCCATGGGATTCCTGACTGACCTAAAGGTTGATAATTATGACCGCAGCATGAGCTAAATCCAGGATTTTGTTTCAGAATCTAAGACAAAGTTACCCAATCCCTTTAACAGAGCTCAACCTTCTCTCTATTTTTTAAAAGAAAAATAAAAAACGGAGAAAGGACGGCATAGAAAAGAAAACAATCAGGGCTATATAATAGGGGTATTACACTTTACCTCGTGCCTAATGATCCTCCATAGATTAAGGACAACCCTTCCAGCCACTGTGATCTCTGACATGTGGTCGGCGCCGTATGCATCTTTGTCTGCAGAAAAGTGACTCTCACGCTTATCATCTGAAGGGACAGACACAATAAAAAAAAGGATTGTAATCAATGTCGCTTCAATTCTGATTGTTAAGTACTAGTTAAAGCGGGACTGCACTACTAGTAGCTACTTGTGCCCTCTATATAGCAAACAATTCCTAATCGGTGACCATTAGTCCCCCATGATCCCCTTTTTCTTATGTTAATTGAGAGCTGATTTGATGAGATTACCACCTGTCAGTGACCATGCATGGAGGTCTAATCCCTCCTGGCCAAACTAGTGCAGATAGCCTTTAAATGAAACAGCCAAAGGGTGAGAGTTTGAACGTCTATGTTTTACCACCTTCTAATTCATCGTTTCAAGTCGAATGCACGCGGATGCACGGATTGAGAAAAGTAAACAAGGCATTAGATTGCAAATACCCTTAATTTTATACACTTTTAACAGAGTGTAATCTAGGCTATAAATATAACAGATATGTAATGGAAGGGATGTAATATGGATTCTTTGGACTGCAAGTGAGTTATAATACCTCATGACCAAATTTCCTCTCAACGATATGTTCTTTGGGAAAATATAAAAGATTATAATAATAATAATAATGATAATAATAATAATAATATTAATAATAATAATAATAATAATAATAATAATAATAATAATAATCATCATTTAAAGATGTCTGTTGCACCAGCACACATCTTGAAGGCTTGATTCACGGGGTTTGCTCGCTATTTATAAGGACCTCTATTTATAAAAGACCGCTATTCATTTAATCACGCGTTATGGATAGCGGTCCTTATGAATTGCGGTCCTTATGAGTAGCGAGGTATTGTCTATAATTTATTCGCTATTTATAAGGGCCACTATTCATAAAGGATCGCTATTCATTTTGTCACGTGTTATGGATAGCGGTTCTTATGAATAATGGTCCTTAGGAATAGCGGTCCTTATGGAAAGCGAGCTTGACCCTGACTCACCTGGTAATCTTGAGATTAGTTGACAGAGCTGTACCTCAAGGAACGCTGCTCTCTGGAAGAGGTAACCCCACGAAAGCTGCTGAATCTCAAACCCTGCCAACATGTCTGGATCATGTCTGAAAGAATACAAGGAGAAATAGTATTATTTCTTCTTTATTTATTTATTTGTTTCTATATTTATTTCTGCATGGTTCAAAATTTTACATAGTATGATCATGACCATCACGGTAGTAAACACTAGATTACGATCATTATACATTTGCAATTGTAAATTATACAGAAGCATACAGAGGTATGACGATATAAGTTTAATGCTTGAGAGATTGCCACACCTTATCATCTAACGATATATTTTTTTAATTTAGCAATATCATTTAGCAACATTGCTGTTTTACAATATATTTCAACCCCTACAGTGTTGTAGACAATATCTAATTGCCCAAATTTTTATATTTTTATCCATAATAGTTGGTTTCTTCCTTAAATTCAAGGCACATTTGTAAATTATAGATCATGTAGATGGTAGTTTTTAGCTCGAAATCTTACCTCCTAACAAGTTTGACAAACTCCTCAAACATCTCCTTCTCTTCTTCCACATACGTGACCTCTATCCCCATGACCCCTGACCTGGCCATCCAATCACGCTGGGTCACCACATTCAAGTCAGTCACGTTCCCTCCATCGCCCTTTGACCCCTTCTTTGAGAGGTCAACCATAATCACCCCGACCCTGCTGTGACCCTCATCACTGACGTCTTTGCTCGCATCTGCCGAAGCTTTGGGGTCATCGACATTGTGACGGTGATGGTTACCGGGTGGGGCTTTGTTGTCAGGGCCATCTGTATGGATGCAGTAGAATATGGCTCGTATGGGGTCAAATTCAGGGTCGGGATGGTAGTCCCGTCTTGTACGGGCATGGACTTCAAGACTCATGGTGGTCAGGTGCTGAACCTGTTCAAACAACAAAGAAATAATTCCCATTAGCTCGGCTTTTCTACCCAAAGAGGAATATCGCTAGATACATTTACACAGGGTAGCTACTACGAAAACATACTCCATTTAATAATCCAACTTTAGCTATTAAGGGGCAATGATAATGCCCTCAAAAAATTCTACCAGGCACCTCTTTGGATGTACGTCACCTGGGTGGCAAGTGGTAAATATAGATTAATAGCTTGACAAAGGACGTTAATACCGCGACAGGGATTCAAGCAACATTTGATGTTATCCACTGTCTGTTGACTTATAATCAACTAGACCAGTACACCTCTTATGTGACACTTTAGCACTAACATTATCTGTTGATCTAAAATGTTACACATATAATGACAGTGCAGGAGGTAGATAGATAGATATGAAGAGACGAATTAAGGGAAAGAAGAGATAAAGCTGATCTCCTACTACAAGAATCATGAGAGTAAAAGGGAGAGAGAGAAAAATTCAATTCAATTCAATTTAATTTGGTTTTATTGTGAAATTAGAACATGGCAAAAGTGTAAATCATATTATACTATACTTTGTCATATTTACAGTAAAATATAAGAAAATACACTAAGTAAAGTTATGAATACATGTAGTAACTTTACCTATATAGTAATTCAATAACAAATAACAACAAAATTATGACTTAATGCATTGAAAAGTATAAAGTTAAATAATGTTAAATTCAACTGGATAATTTTTTTACAAGATTAAACAAAACCAAAAGAGAGAAAACTAGAGGGAAAGAAGATACGAAAAGTTGATTTCTTACCACATGAAGAGCTTTTGCATCTTGAACATTTCCCTGGCTGACCTTGAAGCCATAGGTATTCTTTGGGGTCGGTCCCTCAATCTGAGAGGTCAACGAGCGTTTCTTCCTCAGTGCAGCGTCTGGAGTTACCTGTGACGGACAAAAGCATACCATGCACTGATTGATTGAAAGAGTTTAAATTCACTCCATAGAGATAGAACATGTATGTAGATATGCCTACCTATCAATACTAACAATATACTACCAGACTCTCCTTCTCTCTTTAATTCTCTCTCTCTCTCTCTCTCTCTCTCTTTCTCTCTCTCTCTCTCTCTCTCCCTGTATATGTCTATCCTAGTTGATGTCTAAAGTATCTTTTTAATATGAGGTCTAAGTTTTACCTATGCATTGTTATTTTACCATGTAATTACAATTTCACTAACGAGCAACATTCCTTGACATTTTCACTCTACCGGGTTTCGCCATTGACTTTGTTTCAAATATTACAGACAGAAAATCAAAAATCTGAGATGAATTACAAAACAGTCCAGCAACAATTTGAAGAAAAAAGGGAGATAGAACAAAAAGATGGAAGAGTGAAAAATGTGAGAGAAATGAAAGTTTCTAAGAGAGCGACAGAATGGGATTAATTGTTATTTGAATAACTCAACAAGTTGTACAGATTTGGCAATCCATTATGCTTACCTGTGCAGGAGTGCATGGAAGGGAAGGGTGCTTCATCTTGGTAAGGTCCATGAGGGGTGTAGGCTTCTGCATGGCAATGGGAGTCACTCCAGGTTGTTCCTGTGACATCATAGCAGTCCTTGACAATGGGCGTAGTGGGGTGCTTGACAGAGGAGGGGTACAACTCTGCGCCCCTCTAGGAATCCCAGCCACGGGAGTAATCATACTGGAACCTTTAAGGGGTCTGGTTTTCTGCTTGCCACCAGGAGTTGTGGCTGGGTTGTTGGAGTCGGTAGCTGTAGAGGGGTCATTGGGGCAATCCCTTGCTGCAGGTTGTCCCTGAGCAGGAATGCCATTGCTGCTTCCACAAGGTGTGGCTGATGCACGCAGGGATGATGTTGGATGTTTACTCCCTCCAGCAGCAGGCGTCGGTTGAGTTGCTTGTAGAGGCTGCTGCCTAGGAGTTGCAGTTTGTTGCTGGGTCGACGACTGTAACGGGTAAGCACCAGGTTGCAAGGGCGAAGTGCCTTGTGGCGGAATCACATTTTGCTGGCCACTAAGTGGTAGCTGTGGTGCATTGTTGCGACCATCACTCTCCATGTTTGCCTGCTGTCCTTGGGATGTTGTGTAGTGGTTGTTCTGATGGCTGGGCAGGTTGCCATTGTGTTGTTGTGGCAAGAAAGGCGTGTTCTGTCCTGGTGAGGTGGGTGGCAGTGTCACAGCTTGTTGCCCATGTTCATGATTCTGCTTGTACCCTGGAGGAGCAGCCGGATTGTCATGCCTAAAGCCATGTCTCTGCTCTCCTGGCTGTTTGGTATTCAGCCATCCAGCCACTGATCCTCGAGGTGGGGGATACTTTGAAGGCATCCACACAGCATCTCTGTTATACCCCTGATGAGAAGTGGGATAGCCCTGGGAAGATGATGCCTCTCCCTGTGATTGGACAACTGTCTGCCAATGGTTCAGTCCCATTGTTCCACAGGGGGTTTCAGCAGGCTGCAGTGATGAGGGAAGCATGGTCTGAACATGTGCTTGGCCAAGGCCCTCCCTGTATGACAATCAAGACCAAAAAAAACCAATAGAAATATGTGGCATCAGTAATAGTAACATCTGCCCTTTTAGTACAGTTGGAAGAACTATTGACTGCTTGATTAAAAAATAAAGTTTGATGTAATATATAATTTCCATAACTTAGCCCTTGGTACAGAAAAATCACGCTCAGAAAAAGCAGCAAATCATGTCAAAATGTTTTTGAATTAAGACAATACACACAAGTCCCCAATCTAAGCTCCAGTTCCTTCTGACACATTGGTCACAGTATGAGAACATGTTTACAATTACATATAAGTACAAGTAGGTCTTTATAAATAGCAATTTGTGTGTTGTAGTTATTTTACCTGACTGCTAAGAAAGCATAAATGCTTGTTAGTATTAGCAACCAGAGGACAAACTGCTTTAGGTCCTCTCAGAGGGACCTGGTGATGAGGTTTAATGCCTTACCAAAGGGCACTAGCGTATGGGCTTGGTATAGAACCCGTGTCGCTGGAAAGATGTGGATAGACTAAAACATCTCGCTAATAAAACTATAAGTTACAATGTAAGTATGTGTAGCTTTAAAGACCGTCAACATTACTGGGCAAGAAGGGGTTAGACCACACAGTGAGGTCACTAACAGGTGGCTATCTCATTAACTCAGCTCTCAGCTAACATAAGAAAAAGAGGATCATGGGGACCAACAGGCACTGATTGGGGAAGTTTTCGATATAGAGGGAGCAAGTAGCTACAAGTAGGACAATGGGGCTCTAATTTCAAAGGATCTACATGATGAGTACTCACCTCTGTCTCCCAGCATGATCCTGAGGATTTCCCCAGTATGCACCTTGGTGGTGAACCTCTGGCAATCCATACTCCTGGAGGCTGCTCCTAACCATGGTGTCTGTCGGAGGCATAGCCACAGGCCGCCAGATCTTGGGCTTGGCTGCCGGGACCGTGGATCCGTTGCTGTCTTGGTACGGGTGCTGCTGGGGACCCGGTTGATAGGGCACTCTGTAAGCAGCGTGGGTCTGCGATCCAGAGCTGGGCGACTGGTGCTGGTGGTTAGGGGATTGGGATGGAGGGTTGGGGTAGGAGGACTGGGTGGACGGGTACGGAGGTGGGTATCCCTGATTGTTACCTGGAGACGGGTAGGGCGGAAGATGCGGTTGGCTGAAGCCCTGACTCTGGTTTGACACCCTATCATTGGTATAGGCCGTTGACTGATTAAGAGAATGGCTGGACATGTCGTACATGCTTTGGCTTGTATGCGAAGCACCGTGGTAGTACACCGATTGGTTGTTGGTACTGTTTCCTGGATGGATAACTGGTTCTTTGGAGTGATTTCCTTGAGTGGTAAGTTGTGTAGGTTGACTGGAGTTGTACTGATGCTGAGGAGGGCTGCCACTACTATGTTCAGAGTCTGTCTCTGGAATGGTTGTTGGTTCTTGTGATCCTGGTGTCTGCAAGGTCTTACCCTGGCTATGGACAGCGAATTGAATGGAGCTGGAGTTGCTTGCGCTTCTCTCAATGCTGCGTGGAGAATGAGCTGTATATGGCGATGATGATCCAGAGTTGGTTATGTCAGAATAATATGGAGGAGGCTTCTGGCCCGGAGGAATCTGAGATGAACTGTTACTCACACTTCCCTCAGAATTGGATTGAGAAGCAGCCTGCATTGGGATATTATTTTGAGGTAGAAGTGGACTACTCTGTGGTACAGAATGTCCTCTAGATTTGCTTGCACTATCTCGTGCCAGTTGCTGACTTTGGCTACTCGTTGCATGATGGTGAACCTGGGCTTCAGTAGTACAGTGACTACCATTAACCTTGCTTGTTCGTCTATGTTGATTAGAAACTTGACCAAGTTGAGATGGTATCTGCTTCCCCCTTTCCATCCTATTGACATGGCTGTTGGGAACAGAATTATCAAGTTTGGCAAATTCATCAGAGATGGCGTCCTTCTCTAAATTTCCATGGAGGTGATTAAAGATTCCAGAGACATCTTCCTGGAAATGCTCCAGGGCAAAATCATCATTGGTTGATTTTGTCTCTTGTTGAAGGGACCTTCCTGCAGTTGTGCCGCCTAGCATCTTTTCATAGACGCTAAAGTCTGAAATCTGCCCAAGGTTTCTCTCAATAATATCCATTTCGTTATCAGAGGTGTGGACAGCAACTGTCCCTTCCTCCTTCCCAACATTTTCAACCGGCAGGGGCGCTACTCCATTTTCCTTGTCTATGTACTCATCATCCTCCTCGTATTCCTCTTCGGTATCAGATATCCTGCTCAGTGGAGACCAGCATCTCGGCGGAGAACTAATCTTCTCTGGACGCTGTGGAGAATAGCATGCCAACCGCCACATCACATCTCGAGAATCATCCTTGCTCATTTCTGAGATCTCTGGAATGGGGTTCTTTGTGATCTCGTCGTCTGGAGGAGTGATCGGAGGAACAAAGTTCCAAACTTTGTTGTCAGGACCACCCCCATAGATGTCTTGTATCTTGGACTTTGCTCTTCTCCTTGGAGTTGCTCCTTTTAATCTTTTGTAGATATCCTTGCCTTGTTTTGCAACCATTATGGCTTTCAGCTGTTCCTTTCTGGGTGATGACGATGCTGGGCCTTTCCCCCAAGGGGTGCTAATACCATTCTTGACTCTTTTAGCATCTGTGTTTTCCTCATCTCCCAGACTTCTTTTACTCTTTGCCAGTCGATTGAGGTCTCTGTAGAGGGCATTCCTGACAACTTCCCTCCAGCTTCCCTCATCTAAGCAAAGCTTTCTCAAGATGAGATTGGGATTGAGTTCTTTGCATGCTTTCAACTTTGGCCATGTAGCTTCCCTCAGCCTCACGAATGGCATAGTGACAGGATGAAATTTTAATGCAGAAGGCTTTCGACCCTTCTTCACAGGTTTTTCTTCAGGCCCTCTGTTCTTTTTACTTTTTTCGCTCCTTCCATCTAGGTTCTTGTCTTTCTTTTTCCGCGCCCTTGGCTCTTTCTTTCGATCTCCTTGGGATGTGGTATTTTTTGTCCCCTTATCATCTTTGGACCGCTGTTGTTTTGCCTTTTTATGCTTCATTTCTTTGTCCTCTTTGCTCTTGTCAGATAGGTTTTCCTTTTTGTCAGTCTTCAAACGGTTAGCTTTTTTTCTATGTTCAGTCTTGAATTCTCCCAAGTCCCCATCTTGGATTGTTCTGTTATCAGATGCTTGAATCTGCACCAGTTTACCAGAAAGATCCCTCACACCTTTCAGAGGTGATCTTCCAATCTGTTTGGAAGAAGGCACAGGTGACCCTTTGCTTTCCAACTTCCTCAAATCCCTGGGACTTCTTTGACCCATATGTCCCCTACCCACTGTTGATGGACTAGTCAGAATACTATCAAAGACAAATGATCGATCTAACAGAGGAGACTGGGACTGATCTTCAGAGCCCAATTCCATACAGGATGTAGACTTTTCTGGTCTGCTCCTCTTTTGCCTTGGAGATAATTTTACTTCAGCCTTTGCTGTTGGACGGCTTCTCTTTGCAACCTTCACAGGTTCTCTGTTACGTTGTTTGGCAGGAGATCTGGATGATTTGTCAAATAGGTTGTTGGTCCTTCTTTGAGCCTTTGGACTTTTTGATGGGCCTTGAATTGATTTATCTGAGGAGCTTCCAACTGGCATACTTATTCTTCGGACAACATTGGCTGGAATCTTTGGAGATTTCTCACAGGCACTGACAGCTATGCTATTACTTCTCTTTAGGATGTTCGTGGGGGATGTGGATAGTTCCAAAGGAGCTATGACCACTTTGGGCTTAGGTTTAACAGACTCTGCATACTGAAACAAAGGTGCTATCTTATAGCCAATGGCTTTAATGTATACCGAGACAGCTCCTTCCATTGGTTTGTGAGGGCTGCGGATTATTCTGTCTGAGATGAATGGTTTATCATTTTGTTGCTGCCGCCTTCTAGGGCTCTTCTTTCCTCCCCTGCCACTTCCATTTTTACCAGGAGATCTGGCCGGTTCCGTAGGTACAGAACAGTCTTTGACAACATCTGGGATATCAGGCGTTTGACGATAGCTTCTCTTTGACCTTATGCCCTTGGCCATCTTCCTACTCGATTTCCCTTCCTCTACCTTTTTACGAGTGTCCTTGTTTCCAGTATTCCCTCTTCGAAATGATGCATGAGGTTTACTCTCTTTAAAGTCTTCATCTGAAGACACACTCTGAAGCCTTGTAGATTCCTGAGAGGTTCTTCTCCTGGGAGAAACCGCTGAATTGGTTCTCCTTACTCTCAGAGCACTGCTGTTTGTGGCACTAGAGCTTTGTTGGGGAGATTCCTCTTTCGTTGAGTTTCTCCTCCTCCTTCCACTTGATGGAGGATTGTCAACATCTTCCACCTTAGAACTGTTCCTTCTTAATCTTGGGGAATTGCTCTTCAATCCACGTCTCTTTTGTCTTGGGCTAGTTGTTGAACATTTTTCATTTCCTGATGGCTGCCTATGTCTCCTTTTCTTGGTATCCATAGGTCTGGGAGAGGTATCCCTTTGTAGTAACTTTGTGTAATCTTTTGGCTTTAGTGATTCAGCATACTGAAAACAAGGTGCAAGTTTGTATTCAATGGCATTAGAGTACTTCTCTAGTGGCCCCTGCAGAGGTTTCTGAGGACTACGGGACATTGTTTCAGCGCAGAAAGGAAAGTCAGCCCTTTCTGATGACTTACGTGGACTCTTACTTCCCATTCTTCCTCTTCCAAGCGAAACAAGAGGTTTGTGTGAACTATTCTCATGAGAGTTCTCAACTTTGCCTTCACCTTGAAGTATCCGCTTGGTCCGTTTCCCTGCTGATCTAGAAGAATTACTGGCCTTTCTTCTTTGGACCTTACCAGCCTTTTCAAAGACAGGAGAAGCTTCATCGTGTCTTCCATTCATGAGTTTTCTTGGACTTCTTGTACTTCTGGAGGCAATTGAAAGTCCCTTCTTCTTTCTGGCAGGAGCACGTTTCTTTTTAGGAGATTCTTCCAAGGGCTCTAAGGCATCACAGATATCCCCTAGAGGACCATCAACAGCCATGTGAGGTTTCCTGGCAATTTTGTCTGCTGCCAACGGCCTTTCAGAACCTACGGCACTGTCTTGCTTGCGAGGACTCTTTGATCCTTGTCTGCCGCTACCAACAACTGACTTTGATTTGTCTTTCCTTTCACCTGGTATACAAAAACAAAGAGTGACATGTAAGATTATGTTCAAGGACTGTTCGCCATATATACAAGCATACCTACATGTATCTATAGTGTTTTACTGATGTCTTGACAAACAAAAGACAACAAATATAGAAGAAAAGCCTCCAGGTGAATTAATTGCAAATATGGGTACAAGGAAAAACATAGCTGCGCAGTACAAAGGCTCATATAAAGCATGCTCCCTTATCTACAAGTGTTACAAGGTACAAAATGTGAGGCGCCCTACTTTTCATGTCATTTTATTATGCCACGCAACTTTTAGAGGTGTTTTACTAAATTTAATGTGAACTAGGTTAAACGCAGAATTTTTTTTAAAAGCCTGTCTGCACTAGGTGGCCAGGGGGAATTAGACCACCCTGCTGGTCACTGACAGGTGGTTATCTCATCAACTCAGCTCTCAATTAAAATAAGAAAAAGAGGATCATGGGGGACCAACGGACACCGATTAGGCATTGTTACATAGGGGGCGCAAGTAGCTACAAGTAGTGCAGTGGGGCTTTAAATGAAACTGACCTTCCCCTGGATTGATGTCCGAGCTTCCATCTAGCTGAGGTATCGGCACATCCCCGCTCTGGCTTGACCTCTGGCTTGACCTCTGAGATGCTTCATCCCCTGCTTCCTCTATCTCACCAATGAGCTCATTCAACCTATGGAGGCAAGCAGACAAGGGGATAGCGAATAAAAGAAAGAGGAACAAATGATAGAAACACAGAGTCAGGCTAACTCGGACCCAGGGACAACTGGAGCCCACTGCATTAACGGTCATTTTTTGCAGGTTTAGGGTTAGGTATAGGGTTAGGGTTAGGGTTAGGTAGGGATAGAGTTAGGGTTAGGGTTATGGTAAAATGACAAAACATGACAGTTTTTACAGCCGGCTGAGTTGTCCCCAGGTCCGAGGTAGCCCGGATCCTAGAAACACTATCATACAATTCTGCTATAGCGGCCACCTGTATCGAAAGATCGCTCGTTTATGAAGACCACATTTGTTGTTTCCCTTGAAACAATGATTCTCATTAAAAATTGGTCATTCATCAAGAAGCAATGGTCTATAATGACTACCTTTCTACAAAGACCACTTTTGTGGCTTTCCTCAAGCTTCCCTCAAGTGACCTTTCTCTTAATAGTGCTCACCTCCATCATGTCATGATGCTCCTGGGCCCCATTTCACAAAACTTGTCAATAATGACAAATGACAGTTTTTGTTATAAGCTAGTGAAATCATTGCTTCTGATCGGTTATCAGCACATTTGTCACTGATTTTTGTCATTTGTCATTTAAAAATGGCTTTGAGAAGCGGGTCCCTGGTCTTCCAATAGTATTACTCTGGCTATAGCTAAGCGGCCATATATGTGGTGCTCCAGCATAACCTTTAGCCATCAAGAACTGGATGGAGAGTGGCATACATGTATGTAAATGAACGTCTTGCCAAAGGATGCTAGTGCCATGTTGGGATTTGATCCCTCATCCTCTGGACTGCGTTTCAAGTGAATGGACTATTATACCACAAAACATTCTTCTTCTTCTTCTTCTTATCGAGTCACTACACAAGTCCCGTCCAGTGGTCCACACAGGCTTTAGCACGGCAATTAACGGCTTCCAGGTCATCTTGGGTGCATGGCTCTGGCAGGAGTGGGCAGACTAGCAGGTGTTCCATTGTCTGTTCCTGGCCGCATTCACATGCCGTTTGTTCGTCTCCTAGACCCCACCTCTGCATTAGGACTCTGCATCGACCGTAGCCAGTTCTTAGGCGGTTGAGGCTAAGCCAGGTAGGCCAAGTCTCACTGGAGCCGGTTGCGAGGGATTCCTTCGGGCTGAGGGAGAGTTTATGTGGAGTGGTCTGAAGGTGGTTAGACCACAAAGTCATCCTTTGGTTGTGAGGGCTAGTATTAAGAGGCTCTACCGAGTGCAGAAAGCTGTGTCTGGATTTGAGCCGCTTGCCCACTGGCTGTTGTTCGAAGAGTGGGTGGAGTGGATTGTTTTCTTGTTTGTCCTTTTCTTTCTGGGACAAGACCAACCTTCTGACGTGTGGAGGGGCAATACCGCAGAGCAAGTAGATGTCTTCTACTTTAGTTGGCCTTAGGCATCCAGTGATCGCTCTGCAAGATGAATTTAGAGCTGGGTCAATCTTGGGTGCATGGGCCGACCTACTCCATACTGGTGATGCATACTCCGCAGCAGAGAAGCAAAGCGCGAGGGCTGTCGTCCGGATTGTTCTGGCATCAGTCCCCCAGTTGGTGTTGGCTAGCTTCTTGAGGATGCTGTTGCGGGCTCCAACTTTTGCCTTTGTGTTGGCAATGTGGTTCTTGTAGGTAAGGGAGCGATCGAGTGTGACGCCTAAGTAGACTGGGTTGGGAGTGTGCTTCAGCCTTTTCCCATACCAGCTGATCCTTAGTTGATGGTTGGCATCCCTGTTCTTGAGGTGGAATGCGCTTATCTGAGTTTTATCAGGGTTAGCTCTCAGGTGGTTGGTCGCATAGTATGGGATGAGACCGGCCAGGGCATCACTGAGGGACTCCTCCAACTTCACAAAAGACTGGTTCTGGGTGGCGATGCAGAGATCATCGGCGTAGAGGAAGCTCCTGGTGTTTGGGTGGATCGGTTGGTCATTCGTGTACACGTTAAAGAGTAACGGTGCGAGCACACTTCCTTGTGGTAGGCCATTTTTCTGTCTGCGCCATCTGCTGCGATTCCCATTGAGAACCACAAAATATCGCCGATTGGACAGCAACGTCTGGATGAGTCCAGTCAGTCTCACGTCCTTTGTCAGCTCAAAGATCTTCCTGGTAAGGATTCTGTGGTTCACGGTGTCGTAGGCAGCAGAGAGATCAACGAAAGCAGCTCCGGTGATTAGCTTACTCTCATACCCGTCCTCAATGAACTGAGTGAGGTTTAGGAGTTGGCCAGTGCATGATTTTCCTGGCCTAAACCCTGCTTGTTCTGGAATGAGATGTTCATCCACGAATGGGGCGATGCGGTTAAGGATAAGCCGCTCGAACAGCTTATATGTATGGCACAGTAGGGAGATAGGCCTGTAGCTCTTTGGACTGGCTGCGTCTTTACCAGGCTTCAATAGGGCAATAACTTTGGATTTCCTCCAGAGCTTTGGGATGTTGTTGGTGCCCAAACATTCGTTGAACATTTTGAGAAGCCAGTTGAGGGCGCCTGGTCTAAGCTGTTTGATCTGCTCGCAGAGGATGTCATCAAGTCCAGCAGCTTTGTTGTTTTTCATTGCTTTGATGGCAGCAAGCAGGTCGTCCATGGTGAACGGTCTAGTGAAAACATTCAAAACATTCAAAACAAAACATTCAAGACACTATACATTTACAACATTTAAATGCATTTTTGAAGTTTTACATCACTGCATCTACTGTTGCTTTACTGTGTTGTAAGCGAGCAAGGCTTAAATGCAACTTCTAGTTAATTTGTCCTTGTTTTTAGAGGATGACCACAAAAAAAAATGTTCTTGTGTTTTAAGTCTATCAGGCTAAACTCACTGTGCACTCTGACTGACATCAGCTGGTTGTCTACTTTTTCTGCTCTTATCTTCCTCAGCCTGTTCTTCTTCTTTCTCAAGCTCTTCATCTAAAATAATCCAGGCCTGTGACATCTCCTTCTCCGCCTGGGCCTCAAGCTCAGGACTGTCCTCATCATCAGAGTCGGATATATCTGATGGTGATTAAAAAAACGAAGCACACTCATAGTTATCTTGGATGCTCATCTTTGTCATAATCATCATCATTATCATAATCATCATTATCGTTATCACCATTATCGTTATCATCATCTTTATCATCATCATCTTACTTTTGGACTGCTACCATTGTTATTGCTATCCCTGTCCTGCTCTTCTACTAGCTTTCTCCTCCTCTTCCTCACATCATCAACAATATCGTCATGCCTATTAAATCAAGATCTACAAAACTATGGTCATCGTCAACTGCATTATCATCATCATCATAAAAATAATAAGACATTTTTAAGGTGCCAAATCAGCCTGAAAATCAAATGCTCAAGGCGCACATCATTATTATCTCCATCATCATACTTACCGATGCCAGATGGCCTTGGATTTCCCCTCGAGCTTTGGGTGCTCATTCTCCCAGATAGTACCAGGTCTTCTTCTTCCTCCTCATGAACAAGATCTACCAGAAGATTAGCAAGCTCCTCATCACACGTATCTGCATCAACAGCACAAGCAAAGAGACTTTTGTAACAGAACATGAGGGGAAATTTTACATTTCACCGGTGACGCAGCATGCAGAATAATCTGTACCTCAAGAATGCAAAATGAATCAACACAATGTAGTTAATTCCTGTCAATTCGTTTCTGAACCCTGGAGACCATATAGACATCAATTTTCAGGGTTTGTTTTGTCTTGTGTAACTCAGCTGAAATCTATGTTTAAAAAAAAAAAAAATGTAATATTCCAATGACTGCCCCCCCCCCCCTGTTAATACAATGTGATATTATAATTCCTCTGGGGATGAACCTGGACAAGTGACTTTTGCTTTTGCTTTTCCCCATTCACATACTAGTTTACCAGTTTCACTCACTACTTCCCCCTTTTTTCAATTACTTGTGTGTCTTTTTAAAAAAAATTATTGTAATTAATAATAAGTTTAACAGAAAGTTGAAAACCAAACCATTTAGACCAAACAGGTAGTTTGAGAACGTTTTTTAAAAATATAATATGGCCAAGCCAATGCTGTACCTTGTGCCTGTGATTGTGACAATCTCTGTGAGGCTTCCAGGATGGAGTAGACCAACTCCTCGTTGACGACTGGTGCAACATCACCGCTGAAGCTCTGCCTCTGAGAGGGCTCACTGTCTGCTGGAGACAAAAAATGATCACCACTCTCTATTCATTCACTTCAATGTTTTACCACAACTGTCATATCATTGATGAATGAAATGTAAGAATAATAAAGAGGAAGACCTGGTGGATGTTTCACAAAGACTAAGATCGACTTTAAGTTGGACTTAGCTATGGCGCTCTTACCATTAAAATCTTTAGATAATATTTTTTCTTCAATAATGAATTTTCAATAAATGTAAATTCTGCAGACTTTTTACCATGATTTGTACATCCCTTGAGAAGCATATGCCAGTAAATAGTGAGAGCGAATAGGGGCATCAACGGCATGCCATAGTTCAAATCCAACTTAAGTCAATCTTAGTCTTTGTGAAATACCCTCAGGTGTGTTCAATAATAAGCCTGAAAACTAGGCAGTGTTAAACCCTATCATGTATATTGAAATCCAGGATGGCATTAAGTCTTCTGGATCTCAACGACTGATATGTGTTGCACCAAAGGAGGTCTGAAATGTTTTAAAAAATAGAGAAATGAAAGATGCTGAAATCCAGGAATTACCGTACCTAAAATATGGGCACCTTGTAAAACCTATTTTCTCTTTTATATGGATTACTGTAAAACCAAAGAATTCAATGACATCAAATTTTGTAAATTGTACTCAACAGTTTTGCCACAGCAAAAGTTTCATAAATCAGTACAACTTGCAGAGTGTTAGTGGGGTTAACGCGAGATTTTCATCATCTGTACACTTACACTTGTTTAATACACTTCTCAACATAAATTTTAAGACTGGTTGTTGTTGTTGTTGTTGGGTTTAGTTTGTTGGCGCTATTCATCGATGTTTGATGATTTCCGCCAGGCTTGGTGTCCCTCCTGCAGCTCTACTTACCTTTCTGTGATTCCAATACTTGCGCGGTATGTGAGATAAAGACTTATTTTCACTTTAAGAAAATGTTGAATTACTGCATCATACCAAGAAAGATGCACAGAATTCTGGAGATAGATTACCTGGATTTTGTGAGTAGTGATATTCCACTTCGTTAGCAGGGGTGCAAGGGATGCTAATTTGGGAGGGTGGCATGACCTCTTCACTACTCTCTGTGTCCATGGGCTCATCTTCACTGCTAGTAACTTGACCCTCCCTATGGTAAAAATTGAATGAGCAAACATGCATGATGCTTAAAGAAGGAATTTTTTGTTGGTTAAAACCTAGGTAAAGGAGCACGTCCTTATATCATTCTATCATAATCATTTGTATAATAAAAAATTATTCTTAACCATCATCTTTATTATCATTATTACCTGATCATCATCATCAACATGATTATCAATATTATCATTGCTATCTTCATCATCATCATCATCATCATCATCATCATCATCATCATCATCATTATCATCATCATCCTTATCATCATCATCATCATCATCATCATCATCATCATCATCATCATCCTCCTCCTCATTCATCATCATCATCATCATCATCATCATCAACATCACCATCCTAATCCTCCTCCTCCTCCTCATCATCATCATCATCATCATCACCATCCTAATCCTCCTCCTCCTCATCATAGCATTAACATAAACCCCAAACTTGTTAGCAACATCCTTTATCTCATTGACATCCTTATTCTTATCATTATCATCATCACCACAATTACCACCATCATCATAATCATCATCAATGTCATCATCATAGGCATCATTATTATCACCATCATCATCATCACCATCATTAAAAGCCATCATTTTTGTTTTTAATAGCACAGCAAGGAAATTAGACATATATGAACTTTGAAATCACTTACATTTCCTGCAGGTCTTTAAATTGCTTCTCCACAATCTCCTGTAACCTTGTCTTCCACTTCTTCTCTGCACTCAAGAGTGGAATATCTCCCCGCTCTGAAATTAAGAATCATTGACAAAAATGGAAAAGTCATGGAAATAAGCGATTTCATATTTGACATATCATGGAGCCATTATAAAAAAATGAGCTTACAGGAATTATGATGAGCTTAAGAATCATGAAAATGGAAAAATTATCAAACTAAGAGATTTCATGTCTGACATAACATGGCGTTATTAAAAGATGAGCTTACAAACAATGTATCTCAGAGTCACTTTAAAATATCTAAGGCTCTTTAAACTCGGAATATCTCAATTATACAAGAATTATATACAAACATTTTAAAGATTTGTTTTTCCCCCTCCTAAATCCCTTCTCACTTTCTTTATTTCCTTGAACATTTGTCTACCGGTATGTATTTTGGGGGTTTATTTATAGATCTGTACAAACTACAGTCTTTCATGCAAACTTACACAATCTATATTTGTACTTAAAAAGTTATACAACTCTCTCTCTCTCTCTCTCTCTCCCTCTTTCTATCTCTGTCTCTCTCTCTCTCTCTCTCTGTCTCTTCCTCTTTCTCTCTCTCTCTCTGTCTCTGTCACTTTCTATCTCTCTCTCTCCCTCTCTCTCTCTCTCACACACCCACACAACACTTCTTACCGGGTGATGATGGAGGAAGAAGTTGATCCATCTGATCGAGTTGTTCTCTCCTCTGTTTCTCATCCTCCCAAATACCCACCAGACCTGGGTTCGTCTCAGCATTATCTAATACAATAAATTTAAAATGTAAACTGTACCATGTTGCCACACTTGCTCTATCTCCCTGGTGTTAAGGCATGTGCTACAGATGCTGTCTCAGGCCTAATAAGCAAGTAGTAATTCATAGGATATTCAATAATGAGCTTTTTCTTCAGTTTTATCTACTGATACACCTGTCAAACAAAAAGTTCATGTACTGTATACATATACAAGTTTCATACATGTGAACAAAATTGCCCTTTCCTGTTATTTAGCAAGATTCTGTAATGCCACAGAAAATAAATACAAATGTCCATGGTACATATTTCAGAAACTATATGAAGAAATCAAAAGAGTCATGTACCAAGCCACACAATATGAAAATGTGTAACTTGACGAGTTGATACACATGTACATAGGACTGTAAAAGTGTGAAATACTAAATGAATAATCATTTGGGTCTGCTCAGAGTAAAACATTGTGCATAGGCCAATAAATCATTTGTAAAAGGGGATTTTCCCTGTTTGTAAAAAGGGGGTTTCCCCCATTCATCCTCAACCACTCACCTTGCAGGTCCATCCTGTTGAGGATATCGGCAGCGACGCCGTCCACCTCCAGCTCAGAGCAGCTCTGCCTCTTGACGTCCTCCCCAAGCCACTGGGAGGAGGGGATGTTCTCATCCCCCCACACCTGGGTGCAGACGCTCATGCTGCCGCTGCTGCTGTGGCGTCGTCTCAGGGGGGTGGGTGCTCCGGGTGGGCTGGTGGCTTGGAAGCCTAAGGGGGGGGGGGGAGGAGATACAGATATGAGGAAAATTACTATCCCAGTAATCATACTACCAGTTATGCATTTGGGTCTGCTAATATCTGGAAAGGGAAAACATTCATAAAGCTTCTACATATTAAAGGTATTTGATATTTGCATTGTTATATTCTTAAAAGGTAATCATATATGAATGCACCCCAGAATATTGCCTCTGAGGACAACTACCCCCTTCCTCTCTCCCCCTGGTCAACAACCCCTCATTTAGCTCCTTATAACTTCCTCCCCGTAACTAATACCCTCTTAAGAACAGCTACCACTCTAGGAGATATACTCTGTGGGTAACTATTTCCTTATGAAAAAGCCCATTTATCCTCATACAAAACTACCCAAGCAGTTTAGGAGTTAGTTTTCCAGAGGCACAATATCGTTTTCCAAGGGTTTATTTTTTTGTTATCTTGCTATATCAGGCAATCCAACGATAGTATAAGGTTGTCGAACACAAGTACTGTGGTAGAGGTAGGTATTGAAGGGCAATTCTTTTATAAATTTAACCACCACAGAGAAATGTTATACAAGTTCTAGGTGTCCAGGGATGAGATGTCCTAGAGTGTAGTTCAATTCATTACAATTTTTTTGTTGTTAAATATAATCCGCAAGAATTCTTACTTGTGGACGGTTTTGGTGAAGAAAGCTTTTGATTGGATGAATCTGTTGCCTCCTCTGGCCTCCGAAACTTCACTGCAGCTAGGTTCAGCATGTTCATTCCATACAGGTTGTAGTCAATCAGAAACTGTCAATGTGCAAAGATATATGAAGGGAAGAAACTCACTTTGTAAAATAGCCAACAAGAAATTCTGATAATTTCATATATAATACTGCTTTTATATAATATCTGTAAAGCGCTAAGGCACATCATTGTATTGATGTATTGGGCGCTATATAAAAGCGGAATATTATTATTATTATTATTTTTAATCTGGCACCACATTATTTCCACTTTTCTAATGCTTTGTAATCCTATGCATTATAAATATACACAGATTAAAGTTGGGCTTGTGATATGGACATTCTGAGATATAAATGAGAACATAAAAATTAATAACATATAATTGATATTCTTGTAATCTACAGCTTAGGAGCTTTCCGTTGATACATAGTTCATCTATTTCACTTGTCACTTCCGACAGGGTTTTTAACCTGTAACCGTGGCAATGATTACATGAAATTCCTCACCTGGAGATTGAAAGGAACATGTGATTCGTGAGGCTGGAAGATCTTGTTCATGACAGCACCATTCTGAAGAAGCTCAACAGCCCTGAGAAAAAAGTAAGCAATAAGAATGCTACCCAGTTTGTAAGCTGACTCATTTTAATCAATTTAATTCAATTCAATTCAATTCAATTCAATCTATTTCAATTCAATTCAATTTGATTCTCTTGGAGAAAATATAATCTCTTCTTTAATAGATAAACATAAAATAATTCTTAAGGCTAATAGAATGAGGAAATGCTTCTGAATAAATCCAAAATTTATGACATCAGGTGGCAATAAAATCTTTAATCATTTTGTGGGCAATTGCCTAAATCCCTCATCCTTTGTAATGAGTAGATGGTATTCCATGAATTTACTTTAAGTTCCAATATTCTTACCTCCTTCTGACAGCAGGATTGTAGAAATAGATTTTCATAAACTGCCTCTCTGACTTGTGGTATCCATAAAGAGGTCTGAAATGATCAAATAAATGTCTATGAATAATATGACAGATGGGATGCATTACGGGAAGTAAATCTGTTTAATCACCAACTTGAAAAATGATTGTTTTCAAAGACATCAGTGCACTACTCTGATTTATTGATAATAATAATAGTGTAAACTTATAGAATCATTGGGTTATTTGATCTGAATGAATTATAACATTTATCTACAATGTGAAATGATTACTAATAATTAAATTTTGTGAGAACAAAAAAAAAGAGGAGGGGGGGGGGGGCAGGCACAATACTTAACATATTGATCAGCAAAGATACAAATTAATCAAAATGAAACTTAATAATATGCCAAATATTATTCAAACAAATTACAAAAAAATTACAACAATCTGCTATTACAAATGACAGCAAACTATAATTGGCGTAACCCTCAAACTTTGACGAAGTAAAGCATCGTGGGATCATCATCTTCATCATGGAGGCAGGATACTTACATGCCAGAGACCAGGGAGATCTTGAAGACATGCTGGACAGTGGACGAGCCCTTCCCTTGGGCCACCTGCAGGGCAGTGTCCAGACTGCTGGCCATCTGATGGAGGTAGCGGTCAGTCGGCTGGGAGCCATCGTAAGGGATGTAGATGTAGGGGAAGACTCCATGGACATGCAGACAGGTCTTCTGGCCTGTAGGATGAATGTTTTTTCATATGATATTCTGTTAATATGACTTCTGTTTTTAAATATAAAGGGTTGAAAAATTTGTACCGCTTGAGTCAGCTTCAATATTCATTATTAATATTTTCCTTGGTCAAAATAGAAAATGCAACAATTACTTACACTATTTCCGGACTACTTCCAATTTGTATCAAATGTAAAGGGTAGTAGAAATAAGAGTTAGCTATTTTCTAGAAAATTCTTTGAGAAATCACAACTTTACTTAAGATGGAAAGGCTTACACTAAACGAAAATCAAACAGTTGTTTGCTTTCAGTGGTTATTTCAACTACTGCAGCTCTGTAGATTTCACAAAAAGTAATAATAATAATAATAGAGAATATTTATGAAGCGCATAATAAATTGAAAATTTCTCTATGCGCTTTACAATCATAACAAATTTGAATATAAAAACAACATTAATACAACAATAAATAACAAAATAGATAAGCAAATGACAAAAAATATTTATGGGAAAGTTAACCAATGCACCTATAATTACACCTACATTGTAAGTAAAACTAATTGACATTACATCAAATTCAACAAACAGACACTCATCATGTCAAATCAGCCTCCCAAGTAGTTGATATCCATTGAATATTTACTTACCAGACGGAGTAGAGCCAAAGACCCTGATCACTGGGACCTGCCTGACCTCTGACCCCCTGAACTCTGAGAAGGTCACATCCAAATCTTCAATGGGGGGTGCCTGGTAGTGGTTGAGGGTCACAATCCGAACAGAAAACATCTTGCCTGGTGGTAGACTACACGTACATGCAGCTATCAATCATCTCTCTTCCTGATGGAGCAGTGGGCAAATAAAATAAAAGGGAGATGTTAATGATTTAAATGCGGGACTGCAATACTTATATGTATAGTTACTTGCACCCTCTATATAGCAAACAATGCCTAATCGGTGACCATTGGTCCCCTTTTTTAATCGAGAGCTGATTTGATGAGTTTACCACCTGCCAGTGAGCACGCAGGGAGGTCTAATCCCTCCTGGCCAAACTAGTGCAGATGGGCTTTAACAGTAGGGAGAAAGCTCCTAAAGTGCTTTTGAGAACTGAAATAAGGCTCTTTTGAAATTTGTAAGATTATATAAAAATAAGTAATCTTTTTGTTTTCTTTCTGTGTAATACAACAAATCCCCCAATAGAGAGTTTCTGGAGACAACAACAAAACAGTATTTGACATTCTAATGGGGATGTCCAAAAGGTAAAATAATTGTTAATCTGGTGTAATATCTACACCATATCAAATTTAGAGTGCATCGGACATCGGACACAAATAAGAAAGTGAAGAGAAGCAAGAATTCAAAAACAGAACTGAATCAAGAATTCAAGATAAACTTTTGACAAGCAGTATGAAAACGATGATAGCAAATGTTTACTAGAGTAGCCTTAAAGTGCTTGGTGATAATATGAAATTTAATATCAATATCATACTTCATATTATCACTAAACTAAAGCAGGTGTAATAATGTTTGATTAAAAGGAAAAGAAATAAAAAAGGGAATATAAAATTTAAAAGGAACATAGATCCCCAAGTAGAAAATGGAAAAAAAGATGATCATCATCATGAACGGACAGTGTCCACAAGACACAAAATCACCCCTCAAAGAACAAGCATACTCTATTTACAAACGTAAGAGGCCAGTACTCAAATTACTGGAAGAAGGAAAAGGAGAACATTCAATTTCGTCAAGATGAACAAAATATTGATGAAGAAAAAGTTGATGTTGATATTACCATTACAAATGATAAAGTCGTAATCAGTTAATAATTAATCACTCTCTAGTCTCTACTATTAAATAGTTTGATACGCATCATCATTGATTTTATGAAATTGAAATTAAGCAAAACACTGTTCAATTCGAATAATTCAGTTATGTTATCACACAATAATATTAAAAACATATTAATTTACTCTCTCATATTAATACAAAATACTCCATCGTAATCCAAAAACAACAACAAAACAACTAAACAACAACATCAGCAAACAATAACTAAAAGTGAAACATGGATCTGTTCAATTTCATGTTTATTCCAGACATTTAACAGACATGGATCACTACGTATGGGACCGAAGTAAAACCAAAACTTGCATTTTTAATTATCTGCATATGTGCCCGCATAATATGGAAATAAGTGATGATATACTTACGTTAAGCTCTGCATACGCTTCTCACGCATTAACTTGATACATCCATCGAACATTGAAAAGAAAATTTTACATTTTCAGGCGCAGGCGAGTCAAAACATGACCGTGGTCCAAAATAAATTCACGATCCAGGGTTATTTTTGTGACTCATCCGCAAGCCTTTCCTGATTATGACGAGAGATGGCGTACGTCTAAAATTATCTTTTCCATCTTTTTCTCTTGGACAAAGGGAGGTCTTGTGGTGTCCATTTATGGGCAGAGAGATCACAAATATGCGAACAGAAATACCGTATTACGGGTTATTCTTACATTATTTTATGCCATTCTGTGAATTTTGTAATCATTAAAAAACACATTTTACTTGGTACTCTCCGTTTTTATTCCCTTTTTCCATCCCATTGTCTCACTACTGGGGGTTTGGTATCTTTGTGACGTCACGTATACTAATTAGAAAATCCGCTGCGATAGCTTGAGAAATCATCATTGTTCTACCAGAGGGGACGCGTGTACGGCACGCGACACCGGTCACTCATTGTGACGTCAAGCATCAATTATCAATATAGATGAGGCCCTCCAGACTTATACAGCATTTTGGTATACTTTAGTTAGTATTAAGTATTAACTTATATATAATTATATACCGTCTTTCTCCAGATTACAAAAATATATACATAAAATAAAAATCCCTTTTCGATACAAAATTTACTCTGGGACATGGACGATATCTATATAGATCCTTTGTTTTGTCCTACTATATCTCTATACCTCTAAGCGTAGATCAAGCCACATACAGTATAAAGAGGAATATTTGTGTCGTGGTGGGGGGGGGGGGGTCTCTTTCTATAGTATTAATGCGATATCTAAAAAGGTTGTCAAATTAGGTTATGGGAAGTGATTGTATCACAGGAAACTTCCACCTCTCTTCCTAGTCACTCTTAAAAACCAAAAAAAATGTTTCCTTTTAGCCATTCACGTGCCCCCCCCCCCCCGGTAGGTAAACGTATGTTCCCTCCTTTTTTTAAATTCTGCTCTTGTGTTTACCGTTGATGATGATCTAACATTTTCGTGAGACAGACTCTCGGTTTATATTCACTATGCTCCCCCCCCCCCCCCCCAAAAAAAAAAAAAAAAAAAAAAAAAAACACACACACACACAGTTCCTATAGTCTCTCCCACTCAATCTCTCTCTCTCCCTCTCTCTCTCTCTCTCTCTCTCTCGATCTCCATCTCGATCTCGCTCCCCAACTCTGACTGTATTCCTCTCTTACTCTTTTCCCCGATGTTTTATTCAACCACCCCCTTCTCTATCTCTATCTGGCTTTAAAATAATTTTGGAAGAAACAGAATCATATATAAATATATCCATATGTTTCTTGTAGGCTGTGTTTGTATGCCTAGATGTGAATTCAATTGCGATCCAAAATTATTTCTCCTCTAGATTGTAAATGTTTTTATTTTTATTACAACTGATCACATCAGTTCACCATTCGATTTGATTTAAACATAAAGGGATACTTGGAGGAGGGGGGGGGGGAGGAAGAAGGAAAGAGAGAAGACATGATTCTTAGAAATGACTACAAGTTCAAAAGATGTTAGAAAAATGCGTGCTTTAATTCTCGTTAGGATAAACATTCATATTTCTTTCATCACACAATCAATATCTAAAGACGACGCGTTTATTTTAATGCATGGAAATACGAGTAAGTATTGAACAAAGTCATTTTTATGCAATCGCAAAAGCTGCGAAAATGAAACCTCAGGCAATTTCTATTTTGCCTTTTCCATCTCCCATTGAAATATGGAGGCATGGGAATGACATAACACATATTAATGAGATCATGAATTATTTGGATATATCTTAAAGTATCAAAATATATGCCAATGGATTGATTGAAAGAAAACATTTGCGATTAATTTGTTGTTGTTCTAAGAAGCGATATTTCATTTGTCTGTTGAAGAAACTTTTAAAGGCTTAAAAACGAAAGCTAGTTTCATGCAGTAAGGACAGCTGTAAATAAAAATAAAAATGAGTATAACATTGAATTCGGTTAATGGCGCATTTTGTTTACAGTTCAGAAAATGAGAACTAAATTTGGAATAAAAGGGAAGATTAGGGCAATGACCACTTACCCCTACCCAGTTACTAGTAACCAATGCCAATTGTTTGATTCACAGCAGGTTGTTTGTACTTTTATGTGCCCCTTGCTAAAATAACCAAGGCACTTAATATATATAACCATGGACCATGATACACTGATAACGAGAACGCTGCTTCTTCAGTAATAATATATCAAGCAGAACCCATCCATCAAAGTACTGATTAACAAAGCTGGTAATTATTCCTTTAACATTAATCGTTGCATGCGTGGCCGTTTCATATTCGGTATGACGTTCTCTCGTGAACTTTGAAATATAAACAGGTCATCTGCAATCATATTAAAATGATTTGAAATATCATTAAACCGAGCTCAAATCGTGTTTTTTTTAAACATGTATATATTAGACTTTAGCATTAGTTTGCCATTTTTTGCTATAGGCCTAAGTTTATTTTGTCAACGTTGATAACAAAGAAAAGAATGGCATCTACCTGCTTTCTCTTGCAAATTTGAGCAAATATTCAAAGTATACATTGATAAACTAAACAGTCTTTGTTTTTCTCATATCTTTACAGTTATACACTATATTTTATAATGTGTAACTGGTCAGTGCTCGTTGTATTTCCACGATTTCATTGGTGTATAAATACTTCATTTATAAACGTTGAGACAAAAATTCACAAAACACGGCTACTGATCATGATCGTCGAGTAAAATACAATTTAAGCATTGAATGCTTTTAATAATTAGCTGACAAACGTTTCATGTCAATGTCAAGATTCCACATCATGGTCAATACCGTTGATCATTGATGTTATAGATCTTCCACGAAAGTTAAAATAAAAACACGGCATCATTCGTATGTGTTGCTCTCGCAGTTGTAGCCTCTCCGTTTCGAACAATAATATCAGCCAAGCTCATTGTCGGTATTTTTAAATCTTTACATGATTATAAATAATGTATTCCTTAAAAAAATCATTTGTTCTTCATTTCATTCGGAATGAAGTGTTCCCAGATCTACAGATCTTCCGCGAAAGGTGTCAAAAACACAAAGCTTTTCTGCGAGGTTGCTTTTGCAAGCATTGTTATACACTTTGCATAGTGAAACATCTAGCCGATAGTCATTGTCTCTAAATTTGTACAAATTAATAATAAATATGCAATGAATATCACTCGTTCATTATTTCTTCGGTATGAAGTAAAGTTCTTTCGTTAGTGTTGACACAAAACACGGCATCTGCTTTCGCCCGTTGTACCGCTCGTCACCGGATATCGATTCGTATCGATAAGCGACAGCTCTGTTCACACGGGTCATCATTTGATTCACATCCATGCACGTTCCGTATTTCTCAAAGATGGTAATGATGGCTTGTATGAACCACGATCCTTCTCGGATACTCCGCCATGAGTAGTAACCTTCAGGAGACAAAAAGGACAACACAAAAATACATATAAATCAACGTTTAAGGAAATATACCCGTTCCACACAGCCTTTTTTCAATGACAAATGACAAAACTCAGTAATAAATCTGCTGATGACCAATCAGAAGCAAGGATTTCAGTAGCTTATAACAAAAACTGTCGTTTGTCACTAATGACAAGTTTTGTGAAACGCCCCCAGAATTCCCCAGCCAGGGGAGGTATCAGGTGGAGTTAGGGGAAGGGGGTCAACCGGCCTTGCCCATATTCAAACCCAATGGTGCATTACTCCCTTTACTGGTACATAAACAAAGTTGTGCCCTCATAGATTGTGTTTTGTGTCCGAGCTGACTCAAAAATCCCCCGATAAATAGGAAGAAAAAACCTTTTCTGTTGTTCTAGCAAAAGATTTTTGGAGAGGAAATCTGCCCCCGTCTTTACAAAATCCAGGATCTGCCCCTGCTAATTTGAAGCAATAATTTGATAATAGTAATGATAATTATAATAACAAATAATGAAATAAAAACATTAACAGGAACATTTTATCAAACCAAATTAGCATAAGGGTATTAATAATTGAACATATTAATGTTGATAAGTGTTTAAAATGTGTTTGGCAAATCGTTAGTCCATCGAAGATCTACTAAAAAGTAAAAGCGATTCATCTTCAAATACTTACATAACTCTGGCATTTACAGTTAAAGTATATAAAGGGAAAACAAAAACATATTTCATAGAAATGACGAATTTGAAGGAAATGCTTTAGTTTTCACCTGGCGTTGATGAAAATGCCATAAGAAAATCTGCCTCCACCGGAATAGTGTAAAACATTTTCTGGCCGAGGGCAGCATCAGGTTCATCGTCGCCCTCACCGGCAGGAACACGAACACCATGGTCCATCTGGGTGCCTCTGCATGCCTGTACAGAATTTAGAAAGAATAGATCTTTAATTATATAAATCAATAAACTGGCATAACGTACGCGGGTAGTCACGTTACACGACCTAACGTGAAACGAAAGTGGAAGACAATGCGACCTTTTGTACGTTTGCCGAAAGGTTTTCACATAGTGAATTGGACCAGACCAATTATAAATGAGAGGCCTTGTTTAACGAACATTTACCCCGACATTTCGTCAATGAAGGGGCATGTTTTCACAAAAGGTCGGGCAACGCGACCACCCGACCCGACGCGATGAACCGAAGATTCGAAGTAAGACATTTAACATTTGATAGTTTTAAAAAAAGAATGAAAGAGATAGGAAATGAACCAGAGACCTTGCAACTAAACGACGCCAAGATTGGCATATCCTGAGCAAATCATGCTGCTCTCACATTATGTTATCCTACATGTAAGGGCGGCCTCCAAGACACCACCACCCCTTCACATTCTAGATTGCCCTGACGTCATTCTGAGAGAAACAAACTATTTCGCTCTCTCCAAATGTTTTATCAAAATACTTTTATTTTAGAGCATTTATTTTGTCTCGTCTACTGTATTAACGGAATTATGATTTCAAGTTTAATGACACCATCGTCGTAAGAGCCGAAGTCACAGGAGGCAAACGAGATGTACTTAGTAGGAGCAATTTATAGGAATTATGAAAGGAAGATGGTAAGACAATAACTCGAGCAGTTATTACTGGAGAAGAATAGTCCAAGGGGGTGGTGGTAGCGAGGGAGAGAGAGAGAGAGAGAGAGAAAAGAAAGAAAGACAGAGAGAGATATTAAGAGAGAGAGAGAGAGAGAGGGGATTTGTTTGTGTGTGTGCGTGTTTTTGTGTCATTTATAATGAGGTAGGAAGAACGATTTTTACTAAAGAAGAGAAGAGAAGGTGTGTTTGTAAGCGCGTGGATGATAAATGTAGGACATGAAAAGATAGCTAGATAAGTTTTGTTCTTGAAGAGAGAGAGAGAGAGAATATATACTTATGGAGAGAGAGAGAGAGTCGTAAAGTTACAGTTTGATGGAAAAGTAGGAGAAGAAGGGAGGGATCTAGCGGGAGTGAGTTGCTTCGCACAACAGTCACCGGAGCAACGTTTATGACCCACAATAGTAGACACTAATCATGCTCATATCCAACCGAGGATACGTCCTCGCTTCCACATCTTAAGGTCTAGATCACCGCTGTAAAATGTCAACGACTTGCTTCGTAATTAAGACCTCTACTCTAGGCATTTTTAGAAACCTTTTTATGGTTTATTACTACAGCATTATGTTAATGTTTCTTTTTTGAGGCGGTCGATTGCCCTGCACTAAACCAACTGTTTCCATTTACTGGGGGACATCGTGCGGAGTTATGAGCTTTACGAAGTGAGTACAATCAACATGATGGATAAGTTGTGCCTCATGAAATCGTACGATGACAGTTCAACTCTGTACGAACCGAATGCAACCGTGTGATCTTATATTCTTTAATGCTCCATTCGTTTCACTCTCATACGAATGCTTTAAAGAATAAGAGGACATTTTTAATAAGTGAACATTTCAAGTAACACTGGCTTACTAAAACATGCGGTAAGCTGATAAAGGAGCACTCTGCTCTCCTGGATACACTGACGGGTGTTCTAATCGGAGGTTGCAACAGTACAAGTATATCGTTGCCCATAACGTATAAATTATTACTGTCTTATCTCTACTTCATGAAGTAATTGTGACAATATGACTTATGATCTATTATTTATAGAGGGAGTTTACATGCTCTCATAGCTGTATTGATCAATCTAAAGAGTCATAGATATTGATCAATAACGTTTTAGGAAGACATATAAAATATATCTATATTTAAGTAAGAATCCATGATCTACTTTTCCAGTTGGAAATGTCAATCCGTGCATACAAATAAGGACCTTATAGTGAAAATGATGATAAATGCAAACCTGTATAAAGAAGAGCTTTGGTTTTCCAACTAGTGTCGGGCACATGATCCCTTTCAGGCGACAAACTAACTCGTCAACTGCCACTGTGCCATCTCTACAGTATAGGACGCCCTCTTCGCCGTGACTCATGGCGATGAACAGTAAGCAATCGTCGTTGCTGAAATCTTCAAGGCTGACTGGAAGCAAAATGGAAGACAATGCGCAATAACATCACGATTGTGGCATAAAATCGAAGTATGGTATTTGCTGTACGTGTAATGAGTACTTCAAGTTGCTAATATTTGAATGAAGAAGCGGTCATGTAGACTTTGCTCATTGAAAAGATAATACTACTTGCAGATAACGGAATTTCCTTTTGGTAATCATGAGCTTTTTGTATCGACTTGACCACAGAAATTTACAGTCTTGCCAAGGTATGATGAAATCTGAACAACTATGTCTTAAAAGTCGATATTTTCCTGATTTTGGAAGGGTGTTTGGTCTATCTGCTATGTATTTAGATTGTGCGAAGTGAACGCTGCATTTAATAAGTTTCGAATCATATTTATGCTATTTCTTCGATAACTTTTTATAATGTAACTAAATATATATATATATGAATTTAACTTCGCACATCTGAAAAACAAACAATTTCTTAAACAGTAAATTCTTCTGTCCTACTTATTTTAGCACAAGCCACTCTATCACTCAGAAAGTCGTATGGAAAGTCATTTCCAAGGATAACTTACGTTCTTTGAGAAGTTTTCTAAATTCGGCTATCGTCAGATCACTATGAGCCTCGGTCCGGAAGCCGAGATTGCTAAACACTCGATCAAGTCCTTCAATATCCGGGTCCGTTCCTTCCCGGTTCGACATGCCAGTCATCGGATCGAACCGGGTCTGATTGACAATCACCGCCTTTCCTCGACACGGATAGTCCATCTTGTAAACCACAGGTTGAACGGTACTTTTAATATTTAGTTTCTGCAGCTGTTGTAACGAGTGTGAAATGTCTCCATTTGGTATGTTCGAATCGGTAACCATGGCGGACCTGATGGAAGAAATGCAAATAAGAACATACTCGTATTTTCATTTTGTTTGAATGATTGCATGATTTTCTTTTTGGATTCGATATCTTAAAACTGTCTCTGTTCATAGTGCATTCAGATATTAGGCTACACATTGTCTTTAGTTTCAAACTATTTACATACAACTGCTACGGGCACTGTATGAATTCTGTGGCAAGAATGCAAATAAAAATGAGAAAATATGAGAAAAAATGAAAAATAAAAGGTCGGGAAGAGAGGAATGGACACCTGACCAGAATACAATAAACATGATTTGTTTTTAATCAAATTTTTTGGGGACACACATTTTTTTAGTACAACTGATGTCCTCGGTTCACTGTGTAAGTGTCACATTGTATAGTGTTGCATTGTATAGTGAACAAATTTTATCTTTGAACCACGATTCTAGCTCCGCCGCTGCATAGAAATTTATTAAAATAGATTCTACATGTCTTGTTTTAACGTATATATTATTACATATATATACACATGATATATATTCATGTAGCATTTTAAATCGTTTTAGATTATACAGACACGAAAAACCCACCCTATAATAAAAGCAACTTGCCTTGTTCTATCAGGTGAACTGTGTTTGTCAGATGCCTTATCACCTGCCAAGATGGCTGCCCTACTGGGACGTTGCCGTTTTCCGATGCCGACGTCACGATGATCCCCGATTTCAACCACGTCAAAACCATCACAGATGCTGTCCATGGTCATCATGTCCGAGTCGACTGTGATGCGGTCCGAATCGAAGTCGAAGTTCTCGTTGATGTCGAAAGCGGGTTCTTCTTCCCCAAGTTCTCTAACACCGGCGTAGTCTTCCCCGAAATCGTGACTGAGGCCAGCTGAGGTTCGGCTCATACTGGTGGAATGTCCTGAAAGAAAAACAAATTTTGTTTACCAAAGTCGTTCAAATTGAATATAACTATAACTCTTGCAAAGTTTAAGTACAGTGAAACCTGTCTATAAATACCACCCTACACACTAAGAAAAAATGGTGCAACTGTGCACCTTTAGGGGTTCAAACCGATGCAACAATAGCAGCACTTTTAGGGGTTAAATCCTGCACCCTTTTTAAAGGTGCAATCCTGCACCCTTCAAAAGGGTGCCAGATTGAACCTTTTGGGGGAAATGTTAGTACCCTTTATGGTTCAATCCTGCACCTTTAGGGGTGCAAACCGATGCAACAATAGCAACACCTTTAGAGGTTAAATCCTGCACCCTTTAGGAGGGTGCCAGAATGCACCTTTTAGGAGACTTGTTGGTTCCCTTAATGGTTCAATCCTGCTCCTTTAGGGGTGCAAACCGATGCAATAGCAGCACATTAAGGGGTTCAATCCTGCACCCTTTAAAAGGTGCAATCCTGCACCCATCATCGAGGAATACTCGTGTGTGTGTATTGGGTTTTTACAGACGTGTATCAATCAGAAATGATTATTTACGTCTGGGACCGACCTTTAAACGTCACCATCCGAAAGACGTGACTCAGTTTCGAACCTGCGTCCTCGGCTGAATCAGTTTGTAACTTCCACTTTTTTAGCTGGATTACAGGCGCACGCCACAACGCCTCGTGACATTTTGCTCGTACACAAATACATATTAAACATGCATGTTTCTTGGTTAGTAATCATATAATCAATATATATATATTGCTAAAACGTGAATGTAATTGTAACATGATCAGACAAAATAATCTATTGATTAATGATTGCCGAAGGAAAATACAAATCACAAAATTGATGTGCATTGTCATAATTTGCTTAACAAATCATATGATAAATGTATTTTTATGTGAACACGTGGAAAGTAATCATGAATATGCATGCAATATGCAAACTTTTATTTTGCACCTTTTTGGGTCGTTAGGGTTCATTTTTGTGGGAAGGGTGCAAAATCTTATATTGCACCCTTTTTTGAACCCCTTTTCCTTCAATAGGGTTCATTTTTATGTAAAGGGTTTTTTCTTAGAGTGTAGGGATACAAGAAAAGTGGTCATTATAGGCAGGTGGTATTAGTATGTACAGGTGCCTTTAGTACATGTTTCACTGAAAAATTATTTTCAAGGGAAACACAAAATGTGGTCTTTGTAGGCAGGTGGTCTTTGAAGACAAGTGACAAGTAGTCACTAAAGTAGGTTTGACTGTATCTCCTTTTCAATAAACCAATAACAGTAAATCGTCTTCCGGAAGAGTACACCGATTCTATTGATGAATGATCATGTTGATTTTGTTTTCTTCCCGACTCGTATCTTTAGACTGAAATGACGTCCATCCAAATGAGCCGGAACCATTTGAACTGTCTTAAAGTATAAACGTATATATTGATGTGTATGTAAACAATACATTCCGTATCTGCTGTTCTCGTATAAGCAATCGGAAGAGGACGTGAGACGAAGCAAACATTCAATTAGAAATATTAAGCAATAAACGTATACTCGTTATCAATTGCAGTATGTACAAATAAATTCCATATCTGCTGTTCACGTATATGCAACCGAAAGAGGACGTGACACAATGCAAACAATCAATTTGAAATATCAAGTAAACTTCACAAATGGGTGCTCCCGTTTTGGATCAGACGATTATTTGCTAACAAACTTCAAATATAGAGTGGGGTAAAAGCAGGAAAGCGAACTATGTCTCAGAGTTAAAAGTAAACAAGAACAACACCATGATTAAAGTTGTGCGACTTCTAATGACGAGTTGCTTGAACACCAAATGCATTAGATATAGTGAATGTTGACCAAGCCAGACATAATAAACAATAGTTCATGAAAGCTTAATCTTGATTATAGATAGTCCTCGTGACACAATGGAACGTTATATCCTGATGCAGGTACTATGTACCCCACTTCAGGCTCGTTCAGATATGACACTGCGTTTTTTTATTTATTTTTTTCATGATGGATTGCTGACGTAAAATATAATAAACTTCGCAATTCTGTATCTTATAACACGTTAACAAAAAAACCTATAAGAAAAACTCTGAGTTTTTTTGTTGTTGCAGCGGTTCAACGCGCCATAATTGAACAACCCTTAACGAATTTCTTCGTGAATCTTCCCCAGTTTCATGGTATTACAATCTGTTACATGTATTATAGTAGTACATTTGATAGCTTCCTGATGAACGTCAATGAAGCACGTTTTGAATCCAGACGAGTCAATCTAGTCTCATAAGACTAGCCTAATTATAGAGGGAAAAAGAGAAAGAGAAAGGGAAAGAGAGAGATAGAGAGAGATTGATAGCTAAAGAGAGAAAGAGAGAGAGAGATTGATAGCTAAAGAGAGACAGAGAGAGAGACAGAGACAGAGAGAAAGGGTGTGTATAAAAACAGAGACATACAGAGACATATATACAAGAAGGATCAAGAAAGACAAGAAGGATCAAGAAAGACAGACAGACAGAGAAACGAACATGGGGAGGAAGGGAGGGGTAAATAAATGTAAAGAGAAAGAGAGAGATATAAGAGAGAGAGAGAGAGAGAGAGAGAGAGAGAGATAGGTAGAGAGAGAGATAGAGAGAGAGAGAGAGAGAGATTTAGACAGCGGGCGAGAAAGAAAAATACGGACAGACTACGGACGGATAGACACAGAGGAAAGTGAAAGATAAATAGACCTACAGAGAATGCGAGAGAAAGAGAAAGAGAGAGAGAAAAAAAAAAGAGAGAAAAAGGGAGAGAGAGGGAGAGAAAGAGGGGGCAATTATGGGAATGAACATTGTCTTGTGATGAAAATGATGACCAGTACATTTTCTAAATCGGTGTACTTTAATATAAAAGAGACTACAATGGGAGAAAAAGAAAGGGAAAGAGTGGGAAAGAGAGGGAAATACGCAAAGGAAATTGAGGGTTGTATAACCTACTTGCTACGGTAATATAACTAAGACATGTATACGAATATATCTCTAGCATAAATTATAATGTTATCTTTGTGATAATAATAAATAGGGCAAAGTTTACGATTGTGAGCACTTCACGGGAGCGAAAAATGGATTGCATGTAGATCAACACGTATAACTCAGGTTTAAATACAAACAACTTTGATTTGCTTCATTATCACAAGATATGACATATATTCAATGAAATGGGAGTCTACGTCATAATGAATTTTAATCTAGTAATCTGATGTGACACTGAAAACAGTTATCAAGAATAATCATTATTCGTATATGTTGTTTTCAGTAATGCTGTTGTTCACGTTTTTAGTTTGTTACGGCTCGTGTCATTCAGTAGTGTATATTTATGCCACATTTTAGATCATTTCGCTTTAAATAATATTCTAAGCTGCAGTCAATTCGGACAGATAGCCCTTATAAACGTTGTTCTCGCCTATTTTTGACTACTTTTAATCAGAGTTCAACATTAAACACACGTGTATTGTAAGACCTTGATTTATTTTCCCCTACAGGATGCAGGGTCACCAGTTTGTCTTTTTAAAGTTTTATTTTCGCCTCATGATCAAGTTTTAATAATATGTGTAACCCTTTTCGATACTACATTGTTACCCATCAAACTGGTATAATTTTTCTTACCTCTTTTCAGGAAGTGATTGCACATGATATATCCTTTCATGACTCCATTTATCAATATCTATGACACTTTATATTAATCAGTAAACTTTATAAATTATATTCTCGCAAACAATTCCTTTGCACTAACAAATAAGCTATTCACTTTTAAAGGGCATGGTCAGGGGCTGCCTTTTATGATTGTTCTTATTGTGGCATATAGGTGGGGAAGCACACCCATTTGCCAAAATGAGAAAAGGCACATGCATGACTGTGAGCATGTAGCATATCAAAATTTGACTCGGGCTCATTCTTCCACAGCAAATGTTTAAAAAAGACGAACCGTGACTCTGCCAAATAACGTTCAATGATGAAGTGAGGATTGAGGAATCTAATACGTCTAGATCTTCGAATGCACTGATGACAATGGCATCAATCCGAATCACACTACTTATCTGTCATTTAATTTGCAAGAATGGATTGCACGGATTGCGGCTCCCTCGCGAATTCCGTTTTCAATTCCAGAGCAGAAGTCGACGGCGCCACCGTTTATTAAGTTCAAACCAATGTGCTAATACTATAGAATACTGTACATGCGGAGATTGGAATGGTTGTTAAAAGGAGAGAGAGAGAGAGAGAGAGAGAGAAAGTGACTTAAAGAGAGGGGGAAAGGAGGAGGGTTGGAGAGCGAAGCATTTTTATCCTCCAATAGACAGTTTGGGGTAAGCCTATATCCCCTATATCGTATTTAATATATTTTCCAGGAAAAGGTACGTGTATGGTGGAAGAAGTAAAATCGCGAATGGACTCATTGGAATAAACACCGAAAGTTAATTTAAAATCAAGCACTAGGGAAGACACATTAAGATCCTTGGTTTGAGTAATGGATATATTTTCTTGTATGTAATTCTGTTGCCCCCTAACGGTTCCTCAGACTGTACTATGTGAACCTTTGAAATCTTTGACTTTCTGGTTAGATACCCAGACACTGTCGTCTGCAGTAGCATCTAGAAAGTACATAAATATGACCTAATCATGGCACAGATTTGTTATCAAGATGATGATAGTCCAATCGATAATGACTTGAAATGCTTCTGTTGTCTGCATCTTTACATCAGTCTGCTTGGGTCATAGCGCTAGCAGACCCAAGTTGTCCTAAAGGTCTACCCGGTCGCTGTCCATGATTATTAGCGTTGTATGCGGAGGGCAGTTCAAAAAGGGGTATGCACCCCCTCTCCCCTCCCCACCACTGACAAATCCCAACCTCGCATTCATCAAATACACAACAGAAATAATGTGTACTAAGATTTTGTGCTCGTGTGGCCCAGCAAAATTTTGGAGTAAAAACGATGTTGAAAATGTGAGATATCCCCCTGAGCAGTGATTTTGGACTCCCCCACCCCCTTATGCAAGAGAATCCTGGCTCCGCCTCTAAGAACCAGGTAATGGGATTAAGCTCTTTTACGAAATAATTATTCGTATTTACACTCGAGCATTGAAGGCAACTGAACTATACACACACTATTAGGACAAAAATGAACGACCATCATGATTATTTTAGTTAGAGTCATCCAAAAAAGGATTTTTTTTTTTATTTACAGACGCGGATCTGAGCGAGACATATCCAAAGTGTACAAAAAAAGCCAGGAGCAAAGAAATGTGAATATAAATCCTTAGAATCAACATGAAAGCAACGACTTTCGAAAAATCAACAAGAGACACTGATCCAATCTCTGTCACCTATTGAAATGTGCGAACATCACCAATGACTACATGATTCCTATTGGGATATCCAATAGAGTACCGAAGCTGTGACATCAACATAAGCTGTGACATCATACGAACCAGAGCAAAATAACAGTGATTTCCTATTGAAATCTATTTATTCGGATGGTCATATGTCAGCCTATACGAAACATATTCGATTGGTTTTCAACATGTGGACTTTATTTTTTTATGCTCTTTCGGAAAATAAATTTAAAAAATAGTCTTATGATGACGTCACACTTGACCACTCTATAGGGTATTTTAGATAACCATTCGGTTAAGTTTTCGAAATGTTGCTACTTTGGATATACAATTCTGTTGATCGTTACAGATTTCTGTGCCACCAAGTTTGTGCCAACATGTGTCACAAAAGTCATTATGCCGTAAACGAAATGTTTTTCGCAGGCGACTGGCAAAACCGAAATGCAATTGTTTTGTTTCTGTTTTTTTTTTTTTTGGGGGGGGGGGGGAGACGAAAACTACGACCCTAATCTGCGTCCGAAATTTTCCCCAAATGTCTTTTTTCGGATTTCCATATTAAACTCCTGTCAGCCGAGATTTATTACTACAACATTGTTTTCTTCTTCAATTTTTGAGCCCTCAACAGGCTATTTATTAATAATCTTCACACAAATAAACAAATCAAATATTATGTGCATGTTTAAACGCATTCAGATAATAATAATAATAGTAATATGTCTTGTTTACCCAGGGTAGCCTCATCATACTGTTCTCCTTGAGGGCCCTGCAATCATATTATTACCCCGGTCATCGGATTCAGGCCTACCCGCACACAATGCATTCACATTCTTCACTCACTGGGGAGCATTCCAGCCAGGCGGCATTTTCCATGCGCACACTTGCTAATCCAAGCACATTAGCTTTCTCATCCTACCGGGTACCCATTTAACACATGGGTGGAGAGTGGCAAATGTAGATCAATGTCTTGCCAAAGGATATTAGTGCCGCGGTGGGACTTGAACCGCGGACCTTGTGATCCACAGTCCGGTGACATATCCACTAATCAACCATAATATTTAGATACAAACAACAATTGTAACAACTGTTTACAGCAAAATGTCTTTCCATTCCAGATAGACGTACAATATATTTCTCATCTTTATAATATTATAAAATATTGTTACAAATTTGCTTTTACTTCAGCATGTTGCATCAAATATGTGTCTCTGCAGATGAAGATTACTGTCCACAAGAATTTAATCTGATATTTTTCAAATTTGTAATCAGCGATACGAGGTCTGTATATCCACAGGCTATATGTATGGACCCGTGACCCTTCCTCGTATATGCAATGCCTGTACATGTATAAGAGTTTGTCTCACCGCAGGCGACACGTCTTATCATAATATTCATCCAGTTTAATCTGACGACACAGGGGACTTTGGTACCTCTTTGAGTTTTAAACCTTTACTAAATGTGACATTTTAATCATTTTGTGTGTTGAAACAAATGGGAAATTAGTGCGGCACTACGTCACGGTGACATCACCGATTGAACCAATTTGAAGTGCCCGTCCGTGGGTATAATTTATACAAAATCATTACTTTACTTTCTGCTTTCTTTTAAAGTAGTTTTGTGTTAAGGTTGGATTTCTTTTTTGATCAAAGTTCCCCATTGTTGTCCTCCTTTGTGGAAATTCATCCAAAGGTTTAAAAAATGTGTCTTCGCCGTTCAAATAGAATAACTATCATATATGTATGTAAACAGGTCAATGATAGGCCATTTTCGTAATGCATTCAAATGTAATGCACATATCTTTATCACTTTATTCACCTGTTAGTCTGTTACGAGTAATTAATTCTAATAGTCAGAATGCGAATTGCATATTTATTAATCATTAATGTGTTCAATTCGCATTCTGACTTTTGGAACACAATTATTCGTAACGAGTGAATGAAATAATTTTTTAACAAGGAAATTATCAAAGATATATGCATTAAATTTGATTACATTACGAACATGGCCTACAAAGAAGTGCACCTGATTATTTCAATGCATAAAGAAAAAATCAACATCAACGAAGAATTGAGATTTACACCTAATGAACATTAATTGTAATATCAAAAGCATTATGTAGACACAAAAAATTAATTAACCGTGCGAACTCACCGTCCACCGAATCATTATCGCAAACATTTGATGCTTTACTCTCTTCCATAGCAGACGACATCGAAGACGATTTACTTCGTAATTTCCAGTCTTCCTCCTCGCACTGCTCTTCCACCAAATGATGGTTTGATGACAATTTTGACCCCATGACCACTTATTTGGTAATATCCCACTCAAGCACGTAATATTTATCAGATTAAAGTATTTGTCCACAAAGTAAACGATTAACACCCAAAGTAAATACACACAACGGTTTAGCCGAGAGAAGTGTTCGTATCCGAGAACGCGGGGAAATACCGACAAGTCATACCCAAGTGTTGATTTCCCCAGCGTCGAGTCAACGCTCACAAAGTGATCGTCTGAAGAATGCATGTACCGACGGCAGTGTGTCGATTTGTCGTCTGCTCGCGTTACGATGAATTTGTGTCGAGAATGAGTTATTCGCGCGCAAAAGCGCCACGCAATACGCCACGTTATAACCTTATAGGGCGAACCTTAAACAAATATTATTGACGAAAATGGCAAATAATTCCATTTTATACGTTTTTGCTAAGCCTACATGACCTTCTGAAGACTTTCAAATACAGCTGTACGGAGAGTATGACACAAACATGTCTATCCTAATACTCATTTAAATAAAGTAGGCCTAAAGAATGTCGTCGAAATTGCGGCTTCTGATTGTGCTTTAAAAATATGAGGAAAGGTTATGAATTTTCAAAGTTCTCGTGAGAATCTTTTTTAAACTGCGAGAGGTCTGCGCAGATCAATGGAACGTTTCACGGTTAAGTGTCCAAAATGATTGTATAGTCGAGGGTGTGTGTGCGCGAGGGTGTCTGTGCGTGCGTTACTAATTGAAACACACACGCACACACGATGTTTTTGATGCCCGGTGAATCTTATCGCTATTATTTGCGAACTTCGAAATTTTGACTTTAGCTTAAGCTGAGATTAAAATGCGGTTCTATAAACATACAGAGATTTTTCTATAATAAGAGAAAATCTGAATAATTATGTCAGAGAAGCGGGAATGGTCGCTAAGCGGAACAAAAACCAACCTCACTTCAGACTTTGTGCGTGTAGAGCTTCCCAGGCATGAATCCTCCAAATATATAAAAATGTTCCAAATATTGCACAATCCTCATAAAATCACCACAGATAATCATTACAAAAACTAAAGCAAAAGCAAAAGTGAAGATAAAAGGAAAGTTGTTCTCAGTGAATGAAAGAACATATTCAGAACTGTAAAGATGATGTTCTCAAATAAATAGACGTGTTGACTCGCTGAGAAAACTTTGAGAAGTGAGGATGAGAAAGGAAATGTTGTTCTGTTCCTTCGTGCGGAGCAGGATGAAAACAAAGAGTATTGATACCAATAATGTGAAGTAAGAGTGAGTCACTGGTGATAATTGCAGTGTACAGGGCCATTGTCGCCATTAAGTTGACACTCGTTGATAAATGAAGAAAGAGAAAATGGGGAAAATACTACAAAAGTGTAATATTGCCTATACATTTCAAAGTGGATAGATCGATCCTCTTCCAATTGAGATATTTCCAAAAGATATCATTAAATTCACGAAAGCAGGTATTGATCACTTGTTAGTATGGGCCTACTTTGTAATGCTACACACACAATATTTTACGTCAGATAATCAAGTCGAAAGAAAACTTCTTAAAACTCACGCGCTTCATCTTAACATAAAATCAATAAACGCACTCATTGTGTCAGAATAAAATCAAAAGTCAATATATCCCAGTGTGTCATTAAAAATCAGGGCATTCGAGAGTCTTTTTTTTCTCGTTCTCACTGCGGTAAAACAAATGGAATTTGATTGATTCTACGCATCATAATATTATTGATAATAAATGTCTCAGTGGACGGTCGATTTATAACAACATTCTGATTGTAGATAAACAATTACGTGAACAAATCATGAACAGACATTCGTCAGTGTGGGGGTGGGGGGGGGGGGGTCAATATGAACATAGTTTTATTAAAATCAGAACAGCATCAACAGTAATAACAAACACAAAATCTTATTTACAGCATCTGATTGGAAAGGGGCAATGAAGTAAAAGGCATCAAACCCCGACCAAATGCACACACACACCCATTATAGTTCAAGGTTTTTATTTATTATCATCAATAATTCATGTTCTTCTTTGCCCCCCCCCCCCCCCCCCCCCCCATTATTCGGAATATTCCAGCGACGGCCCTGGGTTGAGTATCTATGTTTTTCTATCAAAATGATGATTCATCGAGAAATATCGCTTTAGAGGCCTGCGCTGCTGGCATTATGTCTTATCCAAAAATAACAATAATCATGCACTTATATTATTAGCCTGAGAGTAGATTCATATGAGTTTCTGGCGAGAGAGAAATAAATAACCAACGATAAATCGATTGATACAACATTTATTTCGAAAACGTACTGAATATGTTTGCTGTTAACGGATAAGTAAGACCTCAAAAAGGTCAAAAAGTGATTTTGCGTCGCTGTGATACTAATTCGATAGATCAGTAGATCAACGCAATAATTTGATGAAATATCAATTATACATAAATATTCATATCACATCTAAAATTTAAATAGTCTCTAAAAATTAGGATTTCGTTAATGAAAAAACAAAATAACAGCTTGCTACAGAATATAAAAGACAAAAGCAATTAATATCACCAAAAAAATGTGTATTAGGATTACACTCGAAAAACAATCTCACATGAAAGTATTTTTGTTTTCTTACTGAGGTAATAAAACAAGTTTTCTAAGCCTCTAAGGTAATATTTGTTCGCATTTTCATAACACAAGTTTTACGAACAATAATACCTTGAAACTAGGTAAATTATACATGTATTCCATTTTTAGTGCTCTATATCGTATTATACATACAGCGCCCTTCGAAAGGCTTATTTATTTCACCGATTTCCATTTATATTGCGTCGATTCACCGCATAAGAGCCACGAGAAATGAATTCAGTCTGAGCAGGCTACTGCTAAAAACAATATTTGTTTTTCTGACGCCAAGGAATAATTTCAAATCAAATAACATAACTGCTTCCTAAGCTACACACTAACCGTATTTATGCGCCGACACACACACAAATACCCACACCCGCACCCACATACACGCAGTCACGCACACACATTGCAGTTCTCCGCCAAATTTCATGCATCGTATATTTTTTTAAGTATACAACCGAGGATTGTTGCCTACCACTTAAATCTTATACCCAAAATTGTGAAAGGGTGTTATGCCCTCGGTTTATATTTTTTTAAAGATTTTTTTTTCTGTCACGATCTACAAAATAAGGTCAAATTTGTGGGACATTTGGTAGAATGAGTTGCTGTGAAATGAACGACTTATCAAATCTCCTTGGAAGCACGTCGTCATGGTTATTGGCTTTCCGTATTAATTCAACATAATGCACTTTCATTGACGTTTAATGTGACTCAGCTTTCCCAGGGCAGGCTATTATTATGGAGAAGTGTGTATCTACAGTGCACCCTCTTCTCAATCATTCTGTTCAATAAAAGACTTCTTAAACAAATGGAACAAGCTGCCACAAACTGCCGTTGATGCCCCACACTCCTCAGCTTCAAAACGACAACTATCCAACCTGGGTTTTTAAATGGGTCCCATGGGACCCTTACCATCTTCTGTATCTTCATCACCGCGATGGCGAGGTGCGGCCCTTAAGGTATATTCAAGGTACAAAAGGGTTGTCTTTTCAGTGCAATTCGTGCATAATAGCTTAATTTCACTAGGTCAGAGAAATTATTCGGATCTTTATTGGTCATAACTTATTCAGAGGGTATAATTACATTTCAGGAATGGTCCGTTGATGGATGTTTTTATCCATACTCTCGTGTCTTCTTTTTTCTCTTTTCGCCTCATTCTCTGCCTTTGTATCTTCCCACTTCTCATTAGGGACTTTTAGACTTGCACGTTGACATAGTGGACTGCTACGTGTGACGTCCTTTGACGTCACAGTGCCTTAAAAGGACGTCACACGTAGCAGTCCACTATGTCGACGTGCAAATATAAAAGTCCCCATTATCTCTCTCCCATTCTCTCTCTCTCTCACTCGCCGTTTCTTTCTCTCTCCCCTCATCATCCTTTTTCACCCTCCCTCTCTCTCTCTCTCTCTCTCTCTCTCTCTCTCCCTCTATGCCCTTCTTCCGTTTTCTTCCTCATCGTCTAATTTCCTATTTTGTCTTCATCTCTCTATATGTTTCTCCACTCCCTTTCATATGAGAAAATTAATTTCCAAAATGATGAGTGCATGGTATAACAAAAAAAAACTTGTATCTCGTCCACGTGTGGCTTTAAATGGCACACGTACAGTGTACAATATTAATGAAACATCGGGTTATGACTCATTCAGGGACCTTTATTCGCTGTCATGAAAAATGATATGTTTATAGATTCGCAATGCGGGTGTTGAGTGAGGTAGAATTCATGACTTGTATTACCATTCTTAAACAGGTAGATTGCATTAAATGCAGTGGACATTGTAAAACCTGCTTCAGCGACCACCTGTATATATAGAAAGATCACCTGTCTATAAAATACCACATATTTGTTTTCCCTTGAAAAAAATTTCCCATTAAAACCTGAACTAAATCAATCTATCTTATAAAGGCCACTTTTTTCTCTCCCTTGACTGGTCTTTAAACACAGGTTTTTACTGTATCTGAAATCGGACGCAATGAACTAATCAGTATTTCGACTTGCCATCCATATGTTTTCCTATCATCCTACAATTATCAATTTGGTAGAGTTCTGATGGGGGTATAATTAAAAGAAAAGAGAATGATTGATCACCTTTGCTAGCTTCTCTTAATGAAAAAGACTTGAATATAACTCCAATGAAGCAAGAAAACAGAAGGGAGAATATAAAGGACGGAATAATAGATGAGAAGGGGAGAGTGAGTGAGGGAGTGCGTGTGTGTGTACATGCAAGAGAAGGAGAGAGAGAGAGCTCGAGAGACAGACAGAGACAGACTAACATACAGACAAATACAGAGAAAGAGAGAAAGAAAGAAAGAGAGAGAGAGAGAGAGAGAGAAGTATCAGGAAGAGATGATACCTCGTATACAGCACTTACCATCTAGCCTAGATAACATGTATATATTCCGTAAATTAAATGGAAAGACCCGGGTTTATAATTACTACTGACAAATACGATATTGCTAGAGATTGAATCATTTAAATCATATCTCCTTCTTTACATCCATATACTAATTAACTAAAAGGAAGATGACAAGTTTACTAAGAACAATTAAATGTTATCATTACACACACGGATACACGATGTGCGTATAACTATCAGGTCGCGAAATCAATGGTGCTGAAACGAAACCGGATATGGAAATAC